CTTCACACATTTCCTCATGTTTTGCTATCACATTTGTTTTTTTCTTGGATGCTTTTTCTTCGTTGGAGAACTTTGACAGACAAGCTAGCAGAAGGATATTTATTTTCCGAAAAGCTGTGCCGACATTAATGTAATGGTTTCTTGTCTTTAGGATAAGTCTTTTAAGCTGTGGTGATGGCAAACAGATAAATATGGCTTCAAGTCCCCAAAGCAGCGGGTTCAGTGTTATTGATCATTTAGTTCCATAATCCCACATATCCTTCTAATACCGATTGCCTCAACAGCCCTAAACTGGCACCCCCTCCTCCTTTGTCCATCACTCCAACTCAATGTGGACAAACCTTTGAATCTTTATTATTCCCTCTATGGTCACATCACAGCAGTGTGTCTGGATTTGATGGCCTGGTGGGGGTTTGGGGTTAAAGGGGTTCAGTGATCATGGGAGTGTGGAAAGCCATCCCTGGTGGAAAGCAATCATAGTCGGCTCTCGATCATCCTGCCCCCTCCACTACCTCCATCCAACCTCTCTCAACCCATCACCCTTCAGATGTGCCTCTCACCTCCCCTCCATTATTCCCAGCTCACTAGTCAGAAAATTAGGGTAACACTCGGCAGGTCTCCATCCTCTACCCAACTCTCTCTTTCTGTGTCCCTCCTCCCTTCGTCCTATTTCTCACCCATTACTCCCAGTTCACTGGTTGGTATATGGAGGGTGACACTGGGCCAATTCAATCTCTCGTTTCCTTCAAGCCACTCAGTCTACTGAAGTGCTGCAGTCTCCTGTCTATATATACACCCATCCAGCAAGTTGTCGCTCTTTTGCACCTCACACCTCACCTGCCCCCCTGTGCTGCAAGGGCTGGCCATTAACTCATTTGTCACTGCTCTTTTCTTTTTGCCTTTTTCTTTGTGGCTCACCTCTGACGTTTTTCTGTCCTCTATATCTACAGGAAAGTGTTTTTTGCAAATGCCTGTTGTACCGAGGAATTGATAGTGTATGCTTATCATGCAAAAAAGCTTGTGAGAACTTGTGGGGTTGTGTTTTGTGAGATAAAGCTGGTGCGAGCCAAAAGGAAATTAGTACATCAAAGTGTGTATTTGAACTGCCTTTGATGTATGACATTGAATAATGCAGATTTGAGAGGAAAATAAACCGGTAGTATTCAAAGTAGTTTATTTAGTGGCAACATTTTCTCTGTGATTTTCTGAATGACTTCAAGCAGAAGAATCTCACAAGTTTAGCTAGCAGTGCAGCAGTTGCCCAATTATTTTGGCTGCAGATCTTTGCTTTCCATGCATTATAATGACCTTGGTTCGATCAGGCCAAGAAATACCTCATTAAAGGAGGAAAGCTTTTGTAACCTGCCTCTTGACAATGGCCCATGAGGCTCCTACTCAGATTAGTGGTTGCACAGAATTTTCATCATTTACAGAAGATCTGGGCTGAACATTATGAGAGATCCAGACCTAATGAGCAGCCCCACTTAGTTGCTGTAAAAAGTTATCATTAGCCCTTTATGAACAACTCCAACTTGGAACATTGAGAGGAGGAAGTAGAAATGTTTGACATATTGTCAGGTCTGGTTATTTTCTTTCATCAGTATCAGCTTATACAACATATACTGGAACTATGGGTAATAGGCATGTAATCATTTGGACAGTTTAATAAAAAAGTCTAAAAAACATCATCAAAAACAATCACAAAGTGGTTTCATAATAAAGTTTATTCTATATTACAAATAGTATTTTGTTCTTGACTGCAAAATAGGAATGCATTATATTTACATACACAGGTATACAATTAATTATAACAAAGTTAGAGAAGCTCACCTTATATCCCCCAGGTTTTGTTTTTATCTCTCGATAACATACTCTTTATCTTTCAAATATGATATAGTAAAAGTCTTTTCTAGCGTGTTTGTGTAACACCTGCTATAACACTGAGCTAGGAGGACATTTTAAGTTCCTACAAAACGTTTGAAGGTGGAAACTTTATCTGTATGCATAACAACAGGAGGTTGCTATATGCAGACAACCTTTGTTGCAGGGGACAGGCCAGGGAGAAATGAAAGACAGGATGTTGCACTGGAGAGCAGATTCACAGCGACCGCTGAAGACTTAGTCTGTCACACTTATTTACTTTTTAACATAGATCCCGACACAGTATATGTTTGCTACATGAAGGAAAGATGCTTTGTTCATGTTTTAATTTAAAGAGTTCCAATGTTGTTATTTTCCAGAAACAGATTCACTTAAAATGTGCCCCTCCAAGTAGCAACAACTGCCACGGGTCCCCCTGTTTGGGGGCAGAAGGAAACTGATAGACAGGATTGATATCTTACACATAATTGATACAAGAGCTAAGAATAATGCACTTGCCAAAAAAATTTATAAACACAAGTCTAATATGCCTCTCCTGTTAGATTATCTGGATAAATTGAATGAATATGGAGTTGGTTACAGGTGAACATACTTGTTTATGACAGTTAAAAGGGCAAATATCTTTTGCCATACAATGTTGATACTTTTACAAAGATGAAGTTGACATTTGTTTTCACTAGTATCCATCTTTTATTTTGAGAGACTTTCATCACTAGCTCAGCTATTGGGAGGGGAGTAGAAGTCATTTCAAGTCTCGAAACACTCGTAGAAAGATGTAATAGCAGCAAAAACAATGTAAGACTGTAATTGTACGTTCTCTCTACCATAACTAAAAACACAGGGGAGGCACAGCTGCTACTAAGCAGTGATGGCCTGTTATGGAGGACGTGGCACTGTAAATGAAGTAGAAGTTCCTAGTACTTGTAGAACTATATAAATATCTTTGAGCAAGGCAGTTCCATTTCATACTATCCAAATAGGTCAACATGCAAAGGTATATAACAACTGGTTTATTTAGCATCTACCACTTCACAAAACTGTGGGGATGAGATTTTGCAGGGGGCTCAACTGGATAAAGGTTCCACCTTAAACGAAAGCTATAGTTTTTCTTACTTGAACAATCCACTTTTTCCCTTTCAGTTCTTCCAAGCAAAAGAAAGATAAAAGAACACATCCACATCATCATTGCAAGGCTTAATTTTCTTATTTTTCACTTTTTTATTAAGTTTCTTAAATTGTTTACGTTTTACATGCGCTTAAAAAGCCAATAAAGGACCCAAGGTGGACCTAGGGTGGTCTTCACACATTCACATCACCACATGGGGCACGTTGTCAAGGCAAAAGAAAGGGCAGAGGTCAAAAGGTACGGAGGGCGCCTCCTATATCTCTTTCAGTCGCGCTCTCCCATGGTTAGGGTTCACATCCAGCAAGTCTTAACTGTTAATGTCCATGATGCTCACTTGTTGCTCTGCTTTATTAATTTTTTTCTTTGAGGCTTCAAGGCCGCCACTGAGGACAACTACACTAATACAGACAAGCGCCTCCACAGTTACACACTCAAGAGTTGGGGTTTTGCCATTTGCAGCTAGCTACCATCTCCAACGCTTGTGCAAAACAGTTAAGAAACTGGTAAGTCAGGAGCCAGACAAAAAGGTGGTTGGTGTGCCGAGAGCCAGAGAGAACTGGGACGATGAAAAGAGAAAGAAGGATCAGATCATGTCGCCCACAGAGCCTCTCACCTCGACACACTGAGGTCAGAAATTATCACACAAGCTTCTTAAAAGTTCCAGACACAATATTTTTTGTATATCAGTGGTTGTTTTATATGTAGTCCTTTTTTGACAGTTCCTCAGTGGCACTTTATAAATACATTTTGACCATTTTTAAAATTTCAAGCTCCTTTGGTTTTTGGCTGACCAACTAAGTCCATCTCATTTCATTTCCCCACACAAGTCTTTAAATAAGAACATCCTGGAAAGAGATGCTACTCTCACAGACAGTTCCTTTAGGTAGCAATCAGCCATCTCTGGCTACTCTATAATGAATCATTCTTATTTTCACTGAAACAGCAGTTTCTTACCCGGTGCATCTCAGTCAGCTCCTCCATTAACCTCCAGGGTTGTCGCAGATATCTGTGCATGTGTGTGCTTTGATAGACTGTCGCAGTGACGACAAAAGATTAGGTTAGACTGCCCTGGTGTTGGATTAGCAGTCTAAAAGCTGTCTTCAGAGTTGGTTGTGTGCTTTTTTTCCTTTAATTCTAAACAGAGGATCCAACTTCGGTGAAGCTCCAGAGTTTAATCTAATAGCTTAATTTTTGCTGTAGCCATTTAAGCCAAATGGAAGCAGAATTCATGAGCATTTCCTAGAATGTGCATTGGGTAAGTAAATTGTGAATGTTGCAGCAGGCTAAATGTTGGGGATGCTCTGCTTTGTAAAGTTTTATACAGGAAAAGTTCAGAGGAGCAATAATCCTTCCCAACCCCCACCAGTCTTAAATATTACTCCAGCTACATTGAAAGAATACAAGAACATTCTAGGTTTGCATGGCCTCCACCCAGCTTTCGAAGATATGTAAACTTGGCAAACCATCCTTGCATTAATTTCTCCAGAGGTGTTCATTTGGCTTGCAGTCATCACTTTTGATGTGTCCACTTGATCCCAAATGCCAAATATAGAACTATGACAAACTCAACTCTTGCGATGGAACATATGGACCCAACGTTGTGGTTTTTCAAACAATCAAATTCTGAAGGCAACACAAAAATGTTTTCTCCCCTTTTTTCTTCCAGCAGGGGGATTTAAGTATGCCAATATGGCCAGTGTTCCAGTAATCACCCCATGAAGCTCCTTTTGTGGTGAAGCTGAAGGATGCCACACACAGCACTGTGGGAAACACCGACCTCAGCAGCTGACCACCCCTCACAAATATTAAGGTAAACTAGTCTATGCAGCAGATTGGATGAGGAACAGAAACTATCTTTTGGTGAGTAAGAGGAAGCGGGGGGGGAAGTTGAGGAAGAAGTCGCATGATGAAAAAGATGGGGACAGGTCTTCGCTCAGGCACGGCTCGGTTTCTGACAGGGTCTCTTCCCAGTGCACCCTGGGAAGTACGGTCCTCAGCTTTCCAGACTCATGAAGGCCACCACCTGCTCTAGCTTGAAGGCGAGCCTCTGTTTTCTTGCAGCATCATCCTGCTCCAGTGCACACACGATCTGCCGGCAGGAACAAGAAAAACCACACGTCACCATTACTGTAAGTATTCAACAAAATAGCAATCAATAACACAACTTTACTAATTAGTTTTGTTGTTGAATATTCTAGTTATCGAGTGTCAATTGTTTGGAATCTGTTGGAGAGAATAATGGACCTGTTGAAACTTTAACCTAACCTCAGAAAAAAAAATGCTTAAACTTTTTATACCAACAAAGTGTGAACAATAATTTATTCAAAAGTAAACTTTACTACAAGTTGTAAAAATGAATGATTTTTAAATCACATAAACCAAACCAAATTTAAAGAGTTAAACTTTGATTAAAAATAACAGGTTGTATTGTGACTTGATAAAATAAGGTATTTCACAAAATATAACTGTTAGTTAAGTGTTTTTTTTGTACCTCCTCAGTGTATTTTCCCACGTAGGAGTAAATTTCACTCAGAGAGCTCATGGTATTAAACTCATTCATGTGCATCCGTGACTGTTCTGCCAAGTAGGCATTCATGTCCTGGTCACTGATCGCTGGCATCTTATTTATATCTGAATAGTACCTGTTGACAGAGAAAAGGGGAAAAAACAAACACTGGTTTGACATGAGTGTCCCGTGGAAAGTATGGTAAGGTAAATCAAATACTCCCAGTGGTTGACTTGAATGCACTCTCTATAGAGCCTGAAGTGCTTTGATATATCTGAGACTCCACCAAATTCATAGTACAGTGATCGAAATGGAAGCATCATAGATGCAGAGTTCTTTGCATTCAACTTGGAACACCAAAGCACACATGCTGCATTTATGTAAAAGCAATCAGTCACTGTCAGCAACAGCTGTTTCCCCATATCAACTATGTTAATTTAACCTGCTGATTAACATTTTAAATTCCTGCTGCCACTTGAGGATAAGACTGGAGTGTGTCTGGGGGAGAAGTATTTGCCAGGAAACCACTGTTTAGAGCAAGGAAAAAAGGTAGGTGTTGCTCAGAGGTCATACTCGTATCAACACCTGCTCTGTGCTAGGAGGCAGAAACGGGTGCTGGGAGCAGGAGATTATTAGTAAAGAGACTAGCTGTGCTTTTTCAGTGTGTAAGTGTATTTCTTTTCACAAATTTCTGTCTCCTGCAAATATGCTCTCATCAGTATAGCTGTGCATGAAAAATGTAATGTTTTATTCATGCTTTACATAATTTAAAATGTATTTTCTTTGGACTATATATAGATATGTACAAGATAAGGGTATAAATAAGTGTAGTCACAGTGTAAATGGTCCATAAGAGGGGGGGACAGGGATCTTGGCGGCCTGATCCTTGGCTTCAGAAACTAGCTTTGCATCGAGAGGAGCCCCATGAAGTGGTTTTGGCATATGGCCAGGACGCCTCCCTGGTGAGGTGGCGTCTGGGGAGAGGGAAGTCTGGGCTTCGGCCCGACTCCCTCCGAAAAATGGATGTATGGATGATTGCTTGAGAAATAGTTAATGTTCTCCTCCACTTTAAAGCTATCTGCCTACCATATGCATACAGGTCATGCATCTTACCTCTCCACCCAGCTCTTGTAGCTGGGGATGTCCTTGGCGTAAAGCAACTTGTTGGAAGGCGAGTCTTTCCCAAGGCGGTGTTCTGAAGTAGAGCAGGAGTCCATAAAGGTCTGGGCCACCACGGATAGACAAGCATCTGTGATGCTGCTCTTATGGATATCAAACACAAATTGGGGATTCTTGATCACATTCACCCAGAAACGCAGAGGTAGGCTATGGAAAATTGGGAAAGGAGAATAAAATAGTTTAGTGGCGAAGCAGTTATCATTTCACATTAGTATGAGTAGCAGTCTCCACTCAAACAGCTTTCTAAATTCATGTCTTACCTCGTAAAAGTTTGGGGAAAATTAAAAGGAAAAAGTTGCCGGAAACGTGTTAATCAACTCTTATTGTGAAGCTCCATTTCAAGTGACAGAATGCACTGCCAGCCTTTAAAAGACTACTGCACACTATGTGCAGGAAAACAATACTTTGTGTCCAGCTGAACAGAGATTGAGTCCCTAAATGGTATTTTCAAATTTGCTACAGTCAGCTAGTCAATAGGCATGAACATATTATTTGCAAGAGGGTACAAGTATTCATTCACATTGGAAAGCTCGTACACCAGCCCTGGTGTTACTGTGTGCTCAATTCAATAAAGCCTTTATCTTTAAAACCAGGTGGTGACCCCCCCCCCCCCCCAACAGTATCTAGTGGTCCTTGCTGAGTGCTGCACAGTGAACACTGTTCATATTGTCTTGTGTGTGCAAGTGGGTCCTATTTTGTGCCTGTCCAGAATAATAAAAATATACAAGTCTGTTGATTTGCTGAACTTGTTTCTGCCAAAATGAATAGATATTGGGCCAGTTTTATCTCTGTGCTGCAGTGAAAGGGGCTCAGGTGGTATTAAGAAACGCTGAGTTTTACTTGGATCACTGTATCTTTACTGTTCTCAAGGCCATATGCTTTTAGCTGATGTGGCAAAAATCAATCAGAAAAGACACATGCATCCTAGCATTCACAACTGTTTCAGTCCGTGGCACAAAATCAAAGGATAAGAAGGGCAAAATAAAATGAAATGCTGTAATTTAAAATACCAACAGTGCTCCCCCACAAAACATTCATTCAAACACAACCACCCACAAAGCAATTTCAAGGTACAATCTAAATAAAGAGGATTTGGACCTGAGAAAGAAAAACTGCATTATTACTTCAATATTAATCTAGAATCCAGTGAGATTAGTTGCTGAGATCAAAGGGATATTAACACTATTTCTGAGTTGCTTTGATGGCAATCTGCGGCTTCAGTAGGGTTTAAGTCTCCACAAAGATGAGGTTTGTCACATCATTTTTATAATTAGGCAAAAGCATAGGAAAAAATCAGCTGTTTTTCATGCTGAGTAGTTTTAAGAATATAAATGACTACTGTGATTAGACCTTTTCAAAAAGGATTAGAGAAAAAGTCAGCTGCTGAGATCAAGGGCATCTCTTCTATTTAAGAGGAATCATGAAGAAGAAACCCTGGTAATAAAATACTCAGTTGATTCATTGAAGAAAAGAAAGTGAGTAATATTTTGGGATTACATGTAGATATTTTCAAAATTCTGTATATATTCCAGAATCTAAAAGTTCAACAGGGATGATCTAAAATTAGGCCAGCGATGGAAAAGAATGTAGGGTGAGCAGGGCTTAAAAGTGTGTAAAGATAATGGCACGAGTTAACTCAGTGTAGTAGGAGCTCTGTTTGGATGGACCACTGGTGTTATTCTCCAATATAACATAAAATGAGGACTTTCAGTGAAGATTGCAATGTTTTCTGATGTCTTAAGGTTCAATATATACACGCACAGCGAATAGTGCAAAAGATGCAGTCTGATGCACGTTTCTCACAGAGAGGGTGGCATTAGGGCAAACCGTGTCCAATAGGCTTTTTGTCAGGGTTGTTGTGATAAATTGCTTTTCATTGGTAGCACCATAGTGAGATACCATTAAAATAAATGTAACACAATCCATTTTGCTGTCAGAAGTATTTCTTGTTCAAATCATCCAACCAATTCCTCACTCATCTGAATTCACCCTTAAATACACATTTTTACCATTTATTTGGTTCTTGTGAATCTCATGCCGATGCATATTGGAATCTTGGCAGAGGCTGGAAGGCTAACAAGACATTAGCGTTCATTTAACTCCCAGGGTGTTACCTTCCTCTTTACCTCCTTTTAATTTGTCTTTTATCCCCAATCTAGTTCCCGTTGGTTACTTAACCTCAACTAGCTTCAAAAGGTGGGCTCACACAGGTCAATATAATCTAAATTAATAAGGGAATGTTAATTTAGGGGTGTACTTGTGCACCTGGGCGTGCACATTTGTCACTATGGCTATTTCCACAGTGACAGGCTTTTTTCTTTTTTTTTTTGGCCCAGTTACACATGATAACAAATGGAAAGTCTAGGCAGCCAATTGGATTAGCCCCTTGTGGTTGGCTTTAATGAAGATTACACACCCCTGTGGCTAATGGATATTAGGAAGGGAAAAGGCGTGTGGTGAAACTTGGCAAGACAGGGCAATGCCATGTTAAATGTGCCAATATGTAATGGCTGTTCTAGAAGTGATGAAAGCAGCCACAACAGGGTACAAATAAGTAATCATAAATGTCAGTTAGAGTGAATGTCTTGAGGATTTATGGCCATCATATGTCTGCACATTTCTGCTATGTTCAAACTCACCAGTTGCTCTTCCATGTGTGTCGCACATGTGGGTCATGGATGTTGTGCTTATCAGCTTGTTCATCCAGGAAGTCAAACATGTATTTGATGGCTAGTGGTAGAGCACTCCCTCGATGGGCCGTGCTGAAGATGGTCTCAAACAGGTCGTCCACAAACTTTTGTAATGTACCCTGTTCAGTAGAAAAAGGTAAAAAGCTTGAGTCCTTGGCATCTCCATATTTTTAACATGTTATATCCGTAGCTTTTTAATATGGATCATGATATAGTGTAAGTTAAGGCATTTCTAGCATCTCATACAGTTTGTGACACATGACTGAGAGAAAGGTTGTCATAAAAATTGTATGCATCTTTCTGTGTGATTCTTATGAGTTGTGCAGTCCATTTCATTTTGTCCCCTCACTCCAACGTTTGTGTCTAATGCCTATCTCATAGACTCAGCCCCTAAATCTGCTTGCAGCTTTGATGGAGGAAATTGTTATTTCACAGCTGACTTTTAATAATATCTGGGAACAGGAGGCGCATCTCCTAAGCCTCTTTGTGCTGCCGGATTAGCTCCCACACTGCACCATTGACCCTAATTTGATTTAATGTTGGTGACTTTAAGGAGGACGAGGAGAAGAGACACTGAGTGAAAGAATCTAATCCTCTTGTAAAGAACAAGTTGATGGGATGCACAGGAGTAGCAAGAGCGAGGGGTGGAAATGAAACGACAGAGGTTTCCTATCAGAAAAAAGGCCATTGAGTGTGGCAGATGAGGTGTGTACAGGCACTGGAGGAAAAGAAATCCAATTTGAGTGGAGCAGGTGACCAAAACACCAAGTCAAGATATGTAAAAGAGAGAGGGAAGAGGGAATCCTGTTAGTCCGACAATCATTATTCTAATTCTAATGTGGCCTGACGTCCTGACAGCTTATAATTCTTTTTATTTTTTTTGTCAAGATGGGATCATATATTTTGATCAAGCCATCATGCTACCGAATGATAACATGCATTAGCTGGCAAGAGAATACTTAATGCTTTGTTTGTGCGTCACAAGTGCTGATTCTTTGGCATCTGACGTCATCCTTTATCTCAAGGGGTACACCACGATCACTACTGTTGTCATCACAGGGTTCTCTAGTTCCCCAGTGGAGCAACAACCGTCAACAAAAACCCTCGCAACCATCCACACAGTTATTAAACCACACTAAGCACAATGTGCCATCTGGATGTTTTGATATCTTCCTCACAATGAAATGCAAGGAAAACAAGCAATCATATTGCTTGGAGGTAGTGGAGAGATGCCCACAATCTGAAGTTTTGTGAGAAAATGCAAACTTTTCCTTTTTCAAATACAAACACAATTCGTACCCACTCACAAAGAAGGATTAATTTGGCTTATTATGAGAATGGAAAGCTACGTTTCATGATGCTTCCTTTGCCTCATCCTTGCCTCCTCTAGGCATGGGCCTCTTGGGACAATGCACTAAATTAATGGTTGTTATCTTCATGGTGTGCTTCAGGATATTTGCAGTTTCATCCTGGTTTGTGGCCCCCAACCCTCACTAGGCATTGACCGCTGTATGCATTGTGAGAAGCTTTCTCGTCTTTGTACCAGTTGCTTTGATCTGTTCCTTTGGTCAGATTAGTATACCAGCTGGGTGTGTGATGACTGGCAAGGTGTGTGTGTTGGTGGGTTTAGCACCAACACACACGTTCTATTCACAAAGTCTCATTTTATCGCCATTTTCATTTTTGCTATATCTTCTTTTTTGATGGGCTGCTGCATCAATGAAACAGTAATAGACAAAAAGAAAACAAATATCTATTTTCCCTTTCCTACCTAAGGGGATAGAGGAATACATTTGAATAATCCTTTCCACAGAGATGACTCACCCAATGTAATCATGAATATTTAAAGAAAAAGGGCCTTTTCTGAGTCATTACTCAGGATGAAGGTCACGGTCACACACTTTTTTGAAATTCCTATTCTTCACCCTTTGCTGGGTGAAGAATAAGAATAAAAAAGATCTTTTCTTAAACAGACTGCTCACCTTGGTAGCTAGAAGTCGTGTCAGGTAAATCTCAGAGACCATCTTGCTGCCTCTGTCACCTTCCTTTTGGTCTCCGTGTTCATGGTTCTTAACCAAGTGCCAGACCTTTACACCACTCTCCAGATCAGGAGTGATCATTGGAGTGCGGGAACGCAGGCTGTCTGGGCTTCCAGTGTATTTGATCATATTTTCTGTGAAAAACAACACACTTTAGGTTATTTACAGGTGATATCAATGCTTTATCTTCCAGAATTAGGTAATTATCTTTTTCTAATGTACATTTGTGGACTTTTGTTCAAAGCAAGTTCTGTGGTCAAATAAAGATTTTTCTTGGATTTTGACAATCACACTCAAGGTAAAAGCATGCAGGCAGTAGACAGACACAAAATAAAAATACGACCAATGAGGCAACTTTAACCTGCATGTCAAGAACAAAATCCTCTCCTGGCTCAAACCTTCAAATTAACATATCCAAAAGATTGGATATGAAACTTTTAGAAAGTCTGCATGGGTAATTTTTCATGACTTTTACTCCAACTGACAAGACAAGACATTGCCAGCTGACACAAAATCGAACAGGTGTCAGACAAGATGAAATATGTATGGCCCACCCAGTGGCCGGCGTGGCGATGACATTTCCAAACACACGGCTCAATGAATGTTTACACAGTGTGAAAAAATTGATCAGTGGGTGCGGTTTTAGGAGAGGAGTAGGGGGAAAAAAGTGATTTTCATGGTGACAGAAATCAATCTGTCCAGAGAGAAAAGAGGGAGGAGTGTGCAGAGGGCCAAGTTTGGGAAGATGAGATGAAGGAAAAAAAGACAGCTGGAGACATGAGATGTTGGTCTCCCCTATAGAATACTTTGGTGAGAATAGTTACTGAACACTTTTGGTGTGATGGTGCAGTATGTGTGGTTAGCCTTTGGAAATGCAGAAAAGTACATAATTTTTTTCTATTTATTCAGGAAGTCATGCAGCTCAGGGTGATGTAGAGCCTGGGAGAGAAAAGAGATTTTCTGTTCTATTTTCAGACAGTTGAACACACTTTTTTGTCTTTGTGATTTCTGATGAAACATTACATTCTACATGAAATGCAAAGGCTTTCATTTTCTGGCTGAACGTGTTATACAGAGTTTGTTTGTAACCAAAATCTTTCAACAACCTTTTCTCTTCAGCCTCACCCCACCACTCCTTCCATATGTATCAAATTCAGCCTTCTTCCAACCTGTGTTATCTGACTATAGTATCAAGGGGAGTTCAAAGTCACTCAAGTACAACACCAATTGCAAAGTGCATTATATTTATTTATGAACCCAGTTCCATAAAGATAAACCAGAGAATAAGCCTTCCTCTTTCCACCCTGTGCAGCACCACTCACCTTGTCCTATCTGGTCTAATTTGGTGTCTTAGAGATGAGGTGAGACCATATGGAGATGAGGCAATGCTAATAATGTGGCACCACATTTGAAGTGTCTGAAGTGTTTGTGACCAGTGAGGCTAGCCCTTTGATCAGGATCTAACTTGATGGTTTTGCAATTTCAAGGAGACATACAGCAGACGGACCGGCAAAAAAAAGAAAAACCCACTGGCACATGGACGGATGTGAGGAGACTCTTGTGAGTTTCAAGAGGCTTAACAACTGAAAGAACTGTCTGTTTGGTCTTTTCATATTTTAGAAATCCTTTCAACTACGCTAATTTGTTCCTTGTATTTTCAGGTTTGATGATGTTGCCACGCTGGGTCCTAAAGCAAGTTTTCATTGCTGCAAGATTTGTGTTCATGACTGTCTCAATTTTGTGGGATTTTAGATTTCGAACATGCATTCAACATTTCTGTCTTAAACTAGTGATTTCTCATGTTGTTAATTATCAGGTGAGCATTGAGCTGTGACCACAGCTACAGTAATAAAAGGGCAAACAGGACTGACTTAAATGTCACACAGGACCAGTTTGATGTTGAAATGTTCTCCTTTCTTATCGATTATGACTTTAGAAAGACTTCAACAATGTTTCAGCTGAATGTCACCAACAGCTCCAATGTTCCTATGTTCACACCTAGCTGAATAAAGTATATTTTTTCCAAAAGGTTTTTCCATTGTGGTTTATCATACGGTCCTGGTTAACAATAAACGTTACTATTGTGAAATATCAGTGGTAAGTTCTTTGTGAAACATTTTAAATATTCACAAGCATTCCTGCCACCATTTCTGGTCCAAAATTTTAGAAAGTCAATATGTTTACATGCAAAGCTGAATGATAATGAGTCTTTTACCAGGCTATTCAATAAGAATGTTGTCCTTGTTCCAGTATACATCAATGAAAGAGGAACTGACTTTATGACCAAAGTATGTGAGATTCTGTATTGCTCTTCTCAGCTCATCAGTATCAAACTTCATCACAATAACTTGAATGTTGAAGAGTGAACTGGACAGTTCTATACATACTGTATGCATAGCTGTTTTTGATCTCCTCATCAGTGTTTTTGTTAATTCTCATTTCCAGGTCAAGGCCCAGGAGGGGAATTGTGGAGCTTCCAGAGCTTCCAAACCCATTTCTGTCCAGGTGAGAATGTACATAGCAGAAAGTACACTGTCAACTGCATTGTCTGAGTGGGGGTTGGTCCGGCTTTGACAGCTTAGTTTTGACAATTACTGAGACTCTTCGCACATAAATGTACTCAGTGGCACCTTTTAAAATATGAAAATCTGGGGAAACAGAACTGCTCACCATATTTACTTGCAGAAGTTCTAGAAACAGTAGAGTTGTTTACTGAATTGTAGGCTGTAACTTGCTTGGGGACCAAGGCCATCACTGCATTATCAGGTACCTAAAAAACAAAAACAATCAAACAATCATCAAATTACTTTTCAGATTACTTCAGTATTATCTTTTTCATTTGAACAGAGAATAACCAGAAATAAATGGCTGTCATTTTGTTGTTGGAAATTCCCCTGCATCTGTCCACTAATTCTGGTTTTGTATGAATAAACAACTGTTGTGTAATAAGTAGCAGTGGACAGCAGTATGGGTAGCAGTGGACCACCAGCTAGCTCTCTGAAACCTTTAAATATTTTCCTTAATCCCTGCTCTTATAAATTAATTGATTGAAAATGACCAGTGGGACATAATGAAATGTTAAAAAGGAGGAGTGGCATTTGAGAATCTTTTGCTCAAAGTTTGTGGCAAGTTTCAGAACAACTATGTAATGGTAAAATTTCAGAGTATAGTCGGAAACATTGAAAGTGTGAAACAGAACATACCAGAAGCTTAAGCTGTTATGAGTTTGTTGTGAGCCCACCCTTTTCTACTTTTTGATTCAATTAGAGTAGGGGATTGTTTTTTTGTCCATCAAGTATCAGTGCCATTTTGCTCTTGTCTGAAAAATTAATTAACCTACTGTCTTCATTATCTTATCTCTTATTCAAATCAGCTACCTAATCCATTCCACCCACACCTTAGACTCCCAGCCTGTTGACACTTGCAGCTGCTGACATTTAATTTAGGAACCATTCAAACTGCACTTGGACGAGACAGTCACCACTTGCTAAATTGCTGAAATTATTAACACCAGATTGACAGACACATTATGTGTGGCAGCTTGTTCAGTGATTCCTTATGTGGCAGAAAACACCAGCAGATACGTTTTTCTTTCATCATTTTTTTTAGCTCTTTGTGCTTCCAAAATGTACATATATTCATTTTAATCTTAACTCAATATATATGAATCAATATTGAAAGGTGTCTTGCAAACATGAATCAGTTTCAGGAAAAATTAAAAGTTATGCAATACATTTAATTTTACCTGATCTAAGTCAGCTCGTGTCAGAAAAGACATTTCAGAAAAGCATTTTAGCCTTTGCTGTAGAAATGCAAAGACAGCATTACATATACCCTTCTTAAAGTAATGTCTTTGAAGAAAAGATGTAATCTGTTTGCTGCAAACACATTTCCTTGAGAGTAACCACTTTAGAATATGTTCTAAAGATAACATGTTTTCAGAACATTAGTTGAACTTAACAGTCTTTCTTCCACATTACCTACAACACAGACAGAAAAACTGCACTAATTCTTTGACTGTTTAATCATTGACATTACCTGATAGTGAGCCAGCATGTTCAGCCTCTTCCAGTCACCTTCAATCTTTGTCGTAACATCCTCATCCTGAAGGATTGTGCGCTGTCCTCGACCCTGACGCCACTCTGAAAATAAAAGGTTAAAAATGATTTAATCAATCATATTCATTCTGCATCCCCTCCTTCAAGGTGTTGTTGTTGTGCTGTTTATTTTGTCTGTTGGGAAGATTTGGATTTAATCCCCTCTTAATGCATCTGTCAAGACATGCTCAGATCTTGCCATAATATTTGGAGTTGTATCATTCATGTGGGACAAAGAGAGAACTTTAGCAGCTGCCCTGATGTCAGACCTTTGGTTTGGGGAATTACTTGTACTTTTGGTCAAAACAACAACTGAGATAGAAAAACAGATTCAAATCCTAAAGGGAATGTTTTCAGTGGCAATCAATATAAGTTAAAACATTGAAACAAAATTTGCTGTCTTACCGGGAGAAACAATAAACTTAAATTTAACCACTACACTTTGTTAAATGTATCTGATAATGGCTAATGTAAACAGAAAAAACGTATCAGTAAATGGAGTATAAACCATGTCTGGAAATAGCTTGAAAGGAGATTCAGATTAGATTCTTACAGATAGAAGCCAACATGGATGTTCTGGCTGCTCAAAAATAGACTCAAAATTGGCTTTTGTGTTGCTTTAAACGTGGCACACACTGGTGAGTTAAATCTTGTTGCTGTTTGAGGACTAAGCCAGACACCATGGAGAACAACAGCCCTTGGACACAAGCTGAAATTAACCGTTTACTGGCCCTTTGCTGAGAGTAGTATGTACAGTCAAAGCTGGAAGGAATGTAATGTTGGACAGATTTGAAAAAAAGTTCTGATTCGATTGAAGTTTAACCATAGCCATTTTAAAAAATACCCATTGGGTATACATTCAGTAAAAAAATGATCTTGGATGAATTGTAAAACAAAGGTGTGAGCTTCTTGTCAGCCAATACAAAAATAAGATTAAAACACAAACCTATAAGGCTCACTGCTGTTACTGTTGGCCAGGATTAGTCTTACTTTTAAAAGTGGACCATGTCAGTAAACAAAAAACTGAAAGTTGAAAAAAGATAGAAATTCAGCATTAACTTATGGGTCCCCTCATTTCCATGCCTTATAACAAGCAATTTGAAGTACATATGTTTTCAATAAAACAAGAGGATATGATTTATGTGACCTTACAACAAATTTACATTCACACTACATCTGCAATGGGCCTTCCATGTCTGCATGTGCCAAAGCAGCAGCTTTCATATAAATATCTCTGAAGATTTCCTGTAACATTATTATTAAGTGCAAAATGATAGGCTTCTTGAAAACAAACATGTAGATGATTCCTCTATTCTTTTTTAGAAAACATAGGTTTTATGAATATGTTTTTGTGTCTGGAATCCTTGCTGAGCTTCCCACTTGTGGTGACTACTGTCATCTTCTATTCTGATCACAAACAGGAAAACAAAGCAGCATTCACTGTGGTGCATGACAAGGCCTGTCTTTGGAGGATCCATCAGAATTGTGTTCGCATCTGAGAATCTGCTGGAAATAAAGATTCTCCTGTCGTTTTTGTCTATACACTACAATCTCCCATAAAGATGCAAATGAGCACCAGTCTCCAGTCTACCCTCAGTAAACAAAGAAATGCAAAGCAAAAAATATGGAGGAAATAAATCAAAGCATAAACTTTGAGTGAAACCAAGACAAAGGATCTACCCTATTCCTTTCTAACCAGGCTGATCTGACTGACAAAAGACTGTTGGAAATGACTTTATGGACTCAAATGAAGCAAAAGAGGAATTAATAGAAGCTTATGCTAAGGATGAAGGTGACTGTTGTACTCCACAGAGATACAATGCACATTTAATGGTTACAACATAGAAGAATAACACAAAGAAACACATGATCTTGCTTTGTTCTTAAGACCAATCTTCACTTGTGCCTAGAGGAAGAGTGTGAATTGCCACACATTGGAATTAAAAACTATACCCATGATAACAACACTCCTGTCCAATTTGTCTGAGGCCAGGCCTGTCACAATCCCATTATTCTTATCAGCCACTGCAATCAGTCTGTGTAAGTGTGTACCAGAAATCAAGAGACCCACTGGCACTACTCACACACATAGAGCACCTCTGAAAAAGTGTGTGAATAGAACACTCAAATGGAAAGTCAATTTCTCCCCAAAAAAAAGTTATCACAAGACAAAGTAATCCCAAATGGATGAGCTAAAGAAGATTTACAGGAGTATGTTCTCTGCCAAACAGTCTTTTGATGGACCCAGAATTACAGGAACTTTCCTCTAATTTGTGCAGCAAAAGAGCTGCATACTGGAAAACAGCGATAGAAAAAAAAATCCATCCATATGTTAAGCTTAGTTTTTACTCATTGTCTCTAATGCCCAAAGTCACACTCAGAAAGGGTGGTTAGGTAGTTTGTATTTCCAATTCCCTTCAGTAATAAAACAATAACAGAACAACACACGCTGATAAAGGGGGCCATAAAACAATTTTATCCAGGAGTGTTGTATGAAGGCTAAACCAATTTTTTCACTTTTTCACTTTTTCATCTCACAGAGAGATTACCCACGGTATGTACTTGGGCCCATCTTAGACCAGCAGTTGGTTATAAATATCTTATTACGGATAGACAATGGGGAGGGACTGAAAAAAAGAAAAATCCATGGAACTGCAAAAACGCAACACATTGTAAGTATCTGCAGGCTAACAGTCACGGATAATAATATGTCCACATGTACTGTGTAACCACACCAGGTGAACAATAAACTCCTTAGTGGATGACTTATTGAGAAAATTAGTCATTTAACCCCTTTTTCTAACAGTGACCAGTTGAAACAAAGATAATAATTTAAATAAAAATAATTTCAATAAAAATAACTATATAAGATCATCTATAACTATTGTGTAAGGGAGGAAGAGAATATTTGAAGAAAGGAGGAAAAGAGTTTCTCAAATAATTAGCTGATCAATAATCTGCCTCACAGACTAGTCAACAAAAGATATTATCGATGAAAAGTTTGGGCAGGCGAGATACCAGTCTTGCACATCTGAGTCAACAGAGCCAGTAAGTCAAGTCTCCTGTGGTCAAAAAGAAGGAGTCTATGTCTAAGAAGATTAGTAGTTTAAGAGTGGGCTGGTGAAGTGGGAATGCCTTTCTAAAAATCAATCGGTGTCCTTTTTAAAAAATCTCCTTAAGTCACATTGGGAGGGAATTCAGCATGGTTAGAGAAGTATTTTGACAAGAATATCCAGCAAATATAAAAAGATGTGGGAGCTAAATCTCTGAACTGTAACCCTGAATTAACGGGGCTTTTCATGTTTATATTGTTATAGCCAGATGAATGCACCAACAGTAAAATCCATTAACAGCCAGTTATGTTGGCAATATGTAAAACAATCTAAAATAACATAAAAATATTAAGAAAAATATTTTGTACCCAAGTCCATATCAGAAGCTTTTAAACGATGAGAATGTGGGACATTCTTGTAGATGGCATCCAATATCTTCTCCTTCACCTGGCTGATAGTATCACAGTTCAGCGCTTTAACCTGGATCTCTGGGCTTTTCTCATTTTCTGGATGTATGCAGTTCACCACCTATATCAGAAAGATGGGGGAAATTATGTTGTCATAATATATAGATATGGGAAAACAAAGAAACAATAATAAAAATGTAGCTAAGTTTGACTGTGTGCCATATTAGGCCTATTACAGCGGAGTGGACAACAGGTTTGTACACTTTATTTAAAAGTTGACTGTACTGTAAATTTGAGCTCACAAGAATGCCAATCATTTTGTGCCTGCCAGAGGAATTTGTAATGAACAGTAGGAATATATTAATCAAAACCTTACAGAATTTAATTAAAAATTATTTTACACAAGTAAAGAAGGACAGAAAGACCACATGTTCTGTGAAACTCTCATGCCAAGGTAGGTAATAAATGCCCCCCCCCCCCCAGCTTCAGTCTAAACAGGAAGTCGGGTCACCATTCCTGTGTCCCCCTGCATGTCAGGCGTGACAACAACAACTATGTGTCGCTTAGAATGTCTCATGACTAACCACCCATGACCACCCCGTTCTCTCCACTTGTCCCTCTAAAAGCAAACTAAGTTTTTCCCTTTAGCCCTGGTACCCTAGGGCAGGGGAGCCCCTTACCAGTGTTTTGTAGTCAATCTGTTGTCTGATAAGCTTGTCCTCACTGAGCGAGTAGCGGGCCTCTCCTGTGATAGAGTCAATAGGGCCTTTCTCCATCTGCTGTTTGATGGCACAGAAAAGGGAGAAGAGCGGCTCGCCTGCACATTCCTGCAAAAAGTTTTGGAGAGAAAAAACTTTCAAAAGAGGTAATGTAACTTTTTGTATATTCTCTTTGTTGAAATTAAAGTTTAACAATAGAATATGAAAACAATGTGCCTTTTTTTGTCTACTCCCTCCTCCCAGTGTTGCTGAGTGAAAGTAAAACAAGCCCAAAACAGTCCTGAACAAAAGTTGTGAAAACTGCTATTTATGTATTTATGCTTTATTGTGAAGCGTTTTAGGATTTTTACTCTTTTCACTCTGAAACTTGCTGTACAGATAAACTTGCTTGCTTGCTCTAAAAACACTCTGAAAGGCAAACAGTCTTCCATCCCGAAAGTTTACAATTTGCCACTAAGAAATGACTGGCCTTTTTTCATAATTTGTATGTTAGTCCTACCACCAGTCTTTTAACCCCTCATATTTTGTTTCTAAAAAGTATGTACAGTACCTTCAAAAACTTGTAAAGGAGGAAAGTAAACCAGTTGGTCAGCATTTTCTCTGCCACTGACTCAGTCCTGCAAATAGACAGAAACAAAGCACTTAAACATTTGATCCCAGTGCTCTTATTACCATCATAAAAATTCAACATCATGGTGAAATATTCCGTAAAAAATAATAGCAGCTGCTAATAAAGGAGTGTGCTACACAAACATTGCGACAAAGACATGAATTGAGAGAGCCTTTGCACACACTACATGATGGCCTTTCAGACAATCTTTCAATTGGGTTTTATGCTCAGGCACGCCAAGGGCAGCTCGTCTACCACGGCGGGGATTTTAATATGAGGCAAAGCAATTAAAAGCCTTTATTTGATCCCAGTGGATTGATGTCGTTAGGGGCTGGAACAGCTCTGTAATAACACTAGCCTCATTATGAAGCGCTCCCTCGCCTATTCACTGGACTAACACTCGATCCGTCCACAATAGAAAGTGAATGAATACATCTCCCTCTCCCTCTCCGCCTGGCATCTATGCTCCACTGGTGTGGCAAAATGGTGTGTGTGTGTGTGTATGTGTTGACCAGGGCCAACAGTGTGAGTGATCCCGTGTGAATGACTAATATGCATACATAATAACAGTTGTGATGGCGAGGGAATGGAGAGAGAGCCTAGGATCAGATATCCTTTGACAGCAACCTTCTTGCTCTGCAGCAGGGGTGTGTGGGTAATTATAAACACACACCCCTGCTTCTGTTTTCAATGAGAAACTACCAAAGACATCAATATTTCAGGATTAGCAGCCATTGTGCTCATTTATATGTGTGTAGGTTTTGTCCCTGGTGTTTCGACTGCCACCTGCAGCCTTTCCTCCCTTCACCATTCAGACAGGCTCTTAAAGAGGCTCCACATTGAGGCATGTGGGACAGCATGATATGCCAGTAGGCTAGTCTGGTACCCCCTGTCAGCCTTGGCACAACACCTGGAGGGGATTAACTTCCTGCCCCTTGCTGTGCCATTGCTTTTATATTGCCGCCTTTCCCGCCCTTCTTCCGTCCCCAGATCCCCGGGTCAACAAGGTCACTTTTCATCTTTTCTTTCATGTGTCCTTTATGTGTTTCTCCCTCCCTCCCTTTGGCTGCACTACTCTGAATCCTGTAATCACTAACTCTTCCTTTACTTTTCCCTAAATACCTATCAAATGAAAACAACACACTAAGTAAAGTGGTGGTCTGGGATACAAAGAAGGAAAGAAGGAGCAGTTAAAAGAGAAAGAAAAGAAAGAAGTAAATGTTTCGATTGATCCCGTCTTTGTCCTTCCTTTTCTGTAACGTTATTTTCTGTAGTCACTTCCAATAGATATTGTATTTGTGTGTGATTGCAAGGCTTCTTTAAGGCCTGCATGCAAAAAACACAAATTAGTCCCCCAGTGTCTGTATTCAGAGAGTTTTTGTGCAGAGTAGTTGTTTTTGTACATGTGTGCGCTCATATGCATGCAGAGACTTGCGTGTGACAGCGGTTGCCAGCCCTGCAGTACTAAGACTTAGCACAGAACCACCATTTAGCTTATACCCATTCTCACTCATGGCACCCAGAAGGTTACATTGGTAAAAAGTTCAGTTTGACAGAGCTGCACTTATGTTAAAAAAAATCTTCTCTAAAGCTCTCCACAGGCGCTATAAAAACACGGCAAAACCTATGTTTGGGTCAACTGTGTGAAATGTGCCACACTAAACTGGCATGGTCAAACTTGCCCACTTGGTAGTCAGCTAGAAGAGCTGTGGGTGCTTGGAATGATCTAGAGAAGGGACCCCTGTGAGTGTTTAATTCCCCTTTAGTGCGGTACATTAAAAGGGATGGGGATCCATCTTTCAGCACTAAATAAAAATGCTGTTATTTGTAGGTCGTACCTGCCAGGACCGTCTATATATGCATATCTATGTGGTGTGCACTGTGAATTGTGATAAGTCTCTGCAATAAAACCATCCACGTTTCCTTGTGTTAAATTAAAAAGCCTCTTAGCGATATATGAGGACACATTTTTTAATTAAAGTTCTGTCTAGTTCCAAAAAATTCTGACGAACAAATAAAAAAAATTGAATTGAAGGTCCATTTATGGTGAGACGGTTGTACTAAGTGCATCTTGCCTGGTTCAGATATATGTCAAAGCAGCTCTGTCTGAAATCCAACTAATTTCTATTTGCCACTATACAGCTGTGGAAGAATCTTTATCATATATGTCATACTTTCTCACAATGACTGCTTGGTGCTGTCACCAGATTATTGATGCACAGACATCTATCTGTCCTCAGACACAAACATTTTTTTTCTATCAACTGTGATCTTCCTCATGGGCCCACAAGGGTTCTGTCCACCTGCTTGTTGATGGGTTTTCACAGTCAAAGCAATGATGTAAAACTTGGTCTCATTGAAGTTTCATCTTTCGACCTTAATTAGAACCAATACTGTGATGCTTAAACTAGAGCCAAACAAAACTTCGGGCCACACGAAGGCTGTTAAATCTATAAGATGGGAAGAGTGATGGTGGTGCGGGGATGCAATTGAGAGATGGAGGAAGAAGCAAGGAGAGGAGTTCAAGGAAAAGTATGCAGCAAAGAAAGCGACAGATGGTTGTGGAATACTCTCGTTAGTTAGCTTGCCTGGTGGTTGTACTTCTGCGCAGGTTGAGATAGGACAGATGGAAGGATGTGTGTTTTGTGTGTGTAGGGGAAAGAAGACACACAAGTACACACACATTTCTTGGAAGAGGAAGCAGTGGGTTGCCGCGCTTAGATGCTCTGCCAGAGACAACCTGCTCACGCACTTTGAGCATTGATTTAGCAATCAAGAAATAAAGGGAGGGAGAGAAAGAGCAGGGAATTCAGATTGGGGCGTGATTACAGGATAGGAAAAGAGAGATAAAGATAGTGATGTTACAAAATCAGCAAGATTCACAACTGAAGACAAATAAGATGAGGGAACAGAGAGCAAGCAGTCAGAAGCAGAAAGTAGGAGAGAAAAACAATCAAAATGCACAAATGTAAAGACAAAAAAAGAAAGGAATGACTCTGAACCAATTTAAAATGGTGTAAAAATACAGAGAGGGATGTTCTTCTTCCTAGATTTATCTTTCATGCCTTGTGCCTATGTATTTGGGCTATTTTCAGTGGCTAACACGAAGGACACACCAGTCAGTTCACACTGCATGGTGGCACAGCTTGCCACATCATATCTGAAATGCATGCCGGGTTGTTGAAGAACTAACAAGTGAAATCTGTAGAAGGAAAGTGAGATTAGGACATTCTGATCAGTGGCCATTCCAATCATAAGCATGACAAATGGGAAATCAAACTGGAACTGGATGTGTTGTAAACATGGGTTCCTTCTCCATCACTGCCTGTGTATACAGGGATTTTCCACAGGTTTTCCTTTTTTGCTCTCTTGTTACTGGAGGGGTGTCTTCTAATAATTGCAATACAATTTCTGCTCAGTCATAATTCAAATTAAACTCAAGATTAACTAGGTCTGCAAGAATAGCGCTGACATACAAGGCTCTTGTGGATCATAAACAAAGTGATTAAAGAGCTGATCTCACAGCTTGCCTCCATGCCTCAGCAGTCTACTTTCCTCGCTAGATGACACTGCTATAAGGGTCTCCATTGTCCTTGACCACCTCTCACTGTTTGTGCCTTTCGTGTTGTATCTACTGCCAAGATCCGCAGTTACTCTGTGGTTTAGTGGATGCACCATACTCTGTGAGCTCTGACTGCAATTAATCAAGCCTCCTGCCCAGACAGCAATAATCTCTCTTTGTATCACCATGCAGTCTAAACAGGCTTTAATGAGAAGAATATGTCCAATGTCTTCTGGATTATACACTGAACAGGATTAATTTCATCCTTGTCTGCATTTCCCTATTGTGTTTATTCATTTGTCTTTACTGGCGAACAGCAAGAGGGATTTTAGCCAGAGGTGCAGTAGGAATCTGAATTTAAATGAGATGGACAGCTTAATTTATCACATGCTTGTCAAATCATCTGCGGGAGTCAAGACTTGACTGGCAACCTCTACGCACAAAAAACATTTAGTACTGTGTATAGATGTATGCATGCACACACACTACAGCTGTGCAGATGCTGGTTTACTCAAGTAACCATAATCATCACATTTACCAAACACCACAGGCAGGAAGCATAATCAGAAACAGCGCTGTGTTCAAGTGCATGCCATTCAAGCTTTGACTACAACTACAAGAGAGGATTGTGATTGTGCCAGAGAGCAAGCTTTACCACTGCCTCTTTCTCCCTTTTTCAAAAATGAGTTTTTTTTTTCTCTTGAGCTATTTCAAATTAGATTCACTGCTAATTAATCATAATTATTTTGTTAATGATGTGCATGCCAATGAGCTCTGGTGTTTTTGCAATAGATGCTACAAGTCAAGGTCACAGGAGTTAATCCAAGCACGTCACAGAGAGGGAACACTGAAAAACATATGCAGCTCTTGACGGCTGAGAGACTATATCCAATGCAAACCTTTTATCTAGATACCTTACCAGGAAGAGCTCACTGAATACGTGCAGCAGCTGAGATGTTAAGCTGTCATTTATGTAAGTACACCTGTTACGCAGTGTGGTGAGTAAAGTTAAACCTTTTGAGGGTGCTAATTACCTGCGAAGCAGCAGTTTGGGGTGATTTTTGCTCTCAAGATTGCGATCTATGAGGTCAGACAGCAGGTGCTTCAGGACATCAGTGGCATACTCCAATTTGCTCTGCAGCACTGTCATGATCAGTGAGGCCACATTGCCGCGGTCCCTCATGGAGAAACCCCGCTGGGCCTCCAGAGTGCGAATAAAACACAGCAGGTAGATTTTGTTGTTAATGAGCTGGCCAAAGAGCTTCAGTCCTTTCTCTACTTGCTCTTGGCGGTAGCCTGGCACCTGAGAGGAAACAAAAGAAAGAAACACATTAAAAATAACACGGCAAAAGCAAAAAGTACAGTTTCTAGGTGACATATTCTAAATGAAGATACACTCAATTAGACAATGATTAATTTAAATGCAATAATAGTTCAGATAAATTCAACGAAATAACATAAAAAAAAGAGGAATCTGGGGAGAGGAGAAGTTTAACATTTTTCTGCCTTTGTCAGGCTTTTTTGAACGTTCAGAATAAAGCCCGGAAAACACCAGGGCTCTTTAGGGAATGTTTATTATTTTGATGGCAATGTGTTCCATATTAATGCAACTTGAAAGGGAGAGCAGTGCTGAGACGACTTCTCCTCTGAGCTTCTCATCCCTGCACTATTTATACTTGTAACTTACCGCTCATGCTTGTCTTTAGAGTTTTTTCCTAAATGGCACCTAAGGAGATTATATTTTTTATCTGTCAAGAACACTCACAGTAAGACAGGATCTTTTTGCACCCATTGCAGCTGTCAGCCCACATATGCTCGTATCTTTTTACCTTCCTGGAGGTAGTTGTAATCTGCCAGGAGCTATTGTTCAGTAGCAAGTCTAATATCACACACGTTGACAAAATGTCTTGTGTTTATTTGTTCATATATCTTAGAGGGTGAGAACTTTTTTACCATGTAAAAGACATATATGAACAAAAGTGTGCACAGTGTACAATTTCATTCCACGTGCCTCATGAATGAGCCTTTACAAGCTGTTACTAGCAAATACGTACAGAACACCACAAGCTTTTGTTTTAAAGTGAAAATACACAAAATGGCAACATTTTAATGCCTTATACATCATTTCCGTGGAAAATGATTGAGCTGATGGGTGGAACACTAAAATACTGACAAAACTGCTACAACTAAATTAATTCTATAAAGATCAAGAGCATGCAATGTAATTACAATAATAAAAAATACAATTGCAAAAAAAATACAGAGGGATGAGGCTGTTTTTTGGGATCGTTTGACTGCTATGAATATCCCTCAGGAACTACGAGGAACAATTAAATGTCAAGAGTCCAGCTTTATTTAGTTTCTCTGAATATTTTATACTTTATGGAAGTGTTTTTACATTTTCTGTTAACCCCCCAGAAAAGACCCCACTTGGTTAACACTACGATGATAGGCTTTCTAGCTGCTATTTCTTTCTACAGCGCACCATCAAGACTTGACTTTTAATTACCCAACACATCAATAACAATTAAGGGGCCGTCAACAGCCTAAGACAGGCCCACTGCTTTTCCTATTAGGTTCCTTTTCCACATTATACTCCTCATATAGTTTGATATTTATACCAATTAAAACATAATTAATATTGCTTATTACGGGGAAATTCTCATCAAGGTTTGAGAGTCCAACCCTGGAGGCACTGAAATGGGGGTCCATCATTCTTTTAATGGAACAAGATGACCTGCTCAATTATGGTTGTCTGTCAATGCCACCACTGGGGATAAATGACTTGATTTTTTTATCCTTTTGCTTTTCTCCCTGTGATTGACTCTTAATTTGTTTTTGAGATGGATAGTGAAAGCGACGCACCATTTCATATCATTAAGAATCATTAATGAAAGCTCACTCCTGATATAAGGTCTTCCTAGTTTGTTTTTGAAAAAGTGTTGTCAGCCATCAGAGGGGCCTTTGTTTATCAGACAGCACCAACAAATAACATTAGTGTAAATTTAATCTACTGGGACCTGCCACATTGTTAATCTGTTTGCCCATTTCGTTCTCAATAAGCCTAATTGCAGTGCAACTCCTATTCGATTTATACTGAAAAAAATTAAAATTGCTCACCCATACCTCAAGATCTCTCAATACAGGATGTTCTTCAATGCCTGGGAAGAGAACTCTCATAGTGTAGGTTCTGTAATCCAGAAAAGGTATCCCTGCACCATCCAGATCGCTGGTCAGTTCGTGGATATCTGTTTGAAGCTCTGCAAAAGCTGAAAATCCACAAATACATATTTATTTGCACATGTCATGACTCTTTCTTCTTGAGTATCTTGAATAATTCTATGTTTTGGCATTAATAAACATGTTCCTCTATGTTGGTGAAAGCTTCTTACCCTCTTTGCACTCCAGAGCCACTCGTGACTCAAGGTTATCCATTTGCATCTGCAGTCTTTTCAGAGTCAGGTCACTCTCACGAGACTTGCGCTTATAGGCAATGAGCACCACCACGATGAAAAGGATGAGCAGGGCGCCAGCTGCAGCAATGCCAATGATTGCGGTGCTACTGAGAGGGCTGTCAGATGTGATGTGGACCACTCCAGGGGAGAATTCTATGCCACCAACACGCGCCTGTAAAATATATACATAAAGCCATATAATAGTAATTAAATGGGTGGGGTGTTCAGAACTAGATCATTTAGGTTTGCATGTTTGGTTAAAGAAAAGACAACAGAAAAGGGTGACCAGAGAAACATTTAACTTAAAATATCACTTTAGCATAGCTTTTCAATACTTGACGTACTATGATGGAGAACTGTTCAAACTCATGCAAGTGTACCATTCAATTTAAAACATTTTACTCTGGATTTACTTTAAGTTTGGTGTAGCTAAACAGACAAATTGGTTTGCAATGTCCACACACTTCTGTTTTGTGCATATACTAAATGTTTTACTGTAACACATTCTTATCTTTCTGCTTGGTTCAGGTGGTTACATCAGGAAACATTTTGTTCAAAGTACTCTGTCTTAAAACCACAAATGGAATCTTTATTGAGTTTGCTTGGCCTGTAATTCCTCTTATTGAAGGGTTATTTGTTTGTCTTTTGTCTGCTTGTGGGCACTAACAGGAACCACAAAACTGATTGAATTAGAAGTCTGTAGAAGAGTGGACAAAGGGATGGATAGAAGGCAACACGAGGAATGTGCATCAATTGATTTGTTGGTATCTCCTTTCTTCCCTCCATATCTGTCACAGGACTGTTTATCTCTATGTTTTTGCTGTATCACTCACCAGGACTTTGTGTCGACCAGTCAGGTTTGGTGACTCACAGAGAAGCTGTGTCTCCGACACCGTTAACATGCAAGGCTTGTCACCAATCAGGACTGAGTAGTTCAGCTTTCCATTCCCACTGTTGGTTGGAGGAAGGAAGTTTCGTCCCTGCAAAAGTACATTTGCCCACAATCAGTAATAAGTAAAAAAAAGGCTACATTCCACAAAAACATGTAAAAGGCAAAGGTCTCAGATTTTCAAAAACATTTATTTAAAATATGTTTGTATCTTAAACATTAGCTGACTCCATACTTGGGTTTATTATTAATCAACAATGATACCCGAGCCACAGCAATTTATTAGAAATAAAAACAGGGGTCTAAGATAAAATAGCACAAAATTGCAAGAAATCATGGTTGAGTGAAGGCCATTTGCTTACTTTCAATATAATGGGGGATCCAGGCTTAAGCTCTAGAACCCCAGAGGCACTAAGAGGCTCAAATTCAGGGTTGGGGTAGTAGATAAAGTTGGTGTTGTTGAGTGCCATCAGAGATTGCACATCATCTAATTTAAATCCAAACTCATCTGGTCTTTCCGGTACTTCTTGCTGCCTGGCCAAGCTGATGGGCAGCTCTGGGGCTTGGCACAGCATGGATGTGGGGCTTAATACCTCACACAACTAAAGGACACACAAACAGAAGTAGTTAGGTTCGAAAAAACTTAGTTCTGTTAATGATTCTGTCCTTACAATTACACATTGATCATGTCTTTTGAGGTCCAACCATGACATCATATAGTTCCTGATGTCAACCACACCTGTTCCCAATCACATAGTTCCTGATCACCTCACTAACACCTTCTCGTCAGACTAGTTCAAACCTAATAGCACAGCAAATATATATACATCTTTTGTCTCATTCCAAACAGTTTGCTGTTTAATCTGTCATCAATTGCCAGTCTAAAATATTCTCACTGGAAACACAATTCAAACTTGATTTCTAAAGGTGTAAAGAAAATCTTTGAGGATTTTCTCCCTCAAAGGGAGGCATGGAGTAAGGTGCAGTTAAAGAGCACGTACAGTCTCATCACAAGCAGGCTTTGATGTGCGGAGGTTCAGGAGTGATAATTGGGTCTTACCCTTTCTTCATTACCATTCACAAAGGCCCTATAAGTCTTTTCTCACTTTTCTATGCCAATCCATTTCTCCCTGTGATCTTATCTTCTACCATTGGCACATTCTCATTCACTCACTCCGCTTTGTACCACTTTACCAGCTCAATTACAGTGTCTCTTATTTCTTCAATGTGTCTTGTCTCACCTCCTTATTTTTCTCTGGTGTGGTCTCATTTGAAATGTGATGCATTAAAGTATTTATCAATACATTCTGTTTTTTTTGTTGCTGTATTTACAACTTAAGGATAGTTTTATAAGCAATGACAGATTGATCCATCACTGTAATGTCCCATAGCCCCCAATATCCGCCTAACATCTCAATTCTTCCTCGCCTGTCAGGACACTGACAAATCAACCAGCAGCACAGGTCTTCCTCTCAGACATCTCACATTTCCACAGTAACCTCTGCCATGCAGTCATTCAAACCACTACCTGTCACTCTAATTGGCTCCTTGAACATCAGACTTGACTAATCCTGCATGGTCTTCTGTGCATTGCTGACATGAATCATGAAATGGTACATGTCAGGTACAGGTAGGTTACAGGGAAAAAGAGAAATAGAAAGTCCAGTCTGTGGACAAATGCCACTTAAAATATTTGAATGACTTTCAGTTTCTGATTTCTGCTCATTTAGACGTGAGCTGTGTCAGCGAGAGTAAAGAGAGTAGAGTTCACACCATCACTTGAGACACAATCCCCAGCACTAGCACATGTGAGCACAGATGTTAAACGAGCAGCAGGTTTATGCTCAAACCGTCCATAAAGATACAATTACCTCCTTTGTTTCCCCTTTCTTTCAATGAGATCAAACAGGCCCTTGTATGACTTTCCTTTCTCTCCACTGCAGCAGGTTTGAATTCAGACTAAAAACATTCCAGTTTTTCAGTGGAGAAATTTAACAAGTTTTTTCGACCAACCTATTTTCCCTATGTACTTTCAGTTGTATCATTTGTACAAACAACTGGCCAAGAACTTTGAACATAAAAAGGAGAAAAAAAAAAGTCATCAACTCTATAAATGACTCCTTACTGGGAGTCAAGCTGCCCATCTTTATGTACAGATAGTAAATTGTGATCATTTTACAAAGAAAGAAAAGGATAATAAAAAAACACATAAAAACAATTAACTAACATCTTGTGTAGGTAGATTTATCTTCTATTTGCTGGTTCTATGCCTTTCCAGCTTCAAGGTAACAGTGTTAACCAGTGCATCAGAATGCATTGATACTCGGGGTTTTTTAAATGGAACAATACAATCACATCTACATAGATAAATAAATTAGGGAAAAATAATAAAAAATTATTTGTTTGTGTTGTACAGTCCCTTACATTGAGTGTTTCATGGCTGTTGTATTTGGCTCTGATGAGCGGCGTCTGAATGATGTCCAGGTTAGTTCCTGTCACCGTCACTGGTGTATGCCCACTGAAAGGAAAACACAGCCCATGTCAAATTGAAAGGATAATTTAGGTTTTTTCAACAGATAGTAATCAAAATTATTCATGCAAATATCAAGTAGATTTCATATGGGTTTTGAGTTGAGGATGGCTACAATTTAAATTTAAATTGTTTTTTTTTGCTGGGAGACCTGTTTTGCCGAGAAATTTCGTTTCACAGAGTTTATTTTTACCTGAAAAACATTAAATATTTTGGCCATATAAGCGTAAGAAACGCATCTTTCTGACATACCTATATATGCTCCACTCTGGCTCTATCTTGGTGATGGTGGGATCCTCTACATATTCAAACTGAAGGTCTTTCTGGAGCTGGGCCTTATCTATGCTCACAGACACGGACACGTTTCCATAGCCATGCAAGGAAGCATGTGTTCGACAAGTTAGCCACAGCCCACCCCTCCTGAAGTAGTGAAAGGATGAAGCATTAGTTACTTTACAGTGCCATGTCAGATAGACTATCTGACTCACTCACACACACACACACACACACACAAACAGACAAAGGACAGTTATTATCATTACGTTGGATTTTAGCAGTAGCCCAGCATATTCCTGTGTGATGACAATTGGGGCTCAATGCTTTTGTTATTTATCTATGATTATTTTAATTCAAAATACACCAAATCACTGTAAGAGAGTTGTTATTTCTGCTTTTCAAGAGTAAATTAGCGGCAGTTTGACATACACTGATTTTGATTGAGCTTTTAATTTACACTTAAAGTGTAATCACCGGTGTCAGTCCTAACTTGTTCCACTAACCTCAGATAAGTGCATGGCTGGTCCTTGAACATGACTGACACATTGCTCCCAGCATCAAAGTGGCTGCCAGTGATATTGACTATTGTTCCCCCAGACACTGGCCCTCGACTTGGTTTCAGGCTGGTAATCCGTGGGATCTGTGGAAAAACATTTAGAACTTTGTGTTTTAAAATCAGTCAAAAGGTGTAATCAGGCGCATGAAGGTAAAATTACAGCTAAAAAACGATCGAGAGACTATGCACTGACTTACATCTGGAGGGTAAAGGTGGATAGATGGACCACAGTTATTCCATGTGCATAGTTTTTTTTTTAAAACAGCTGATCGAATAGGATGGAATGTTTTTGTATGCATAAGCTATGCATTGCTACATGAAGGTAGAATACTTTATAGTTTAATTTCCAACTTGCTGTGCTTGACATCTAGGCAAACAACAAAATCCTATGCAAGGATCCCACTTGAAAAAACAATCATCCAGGATCCAATAATGGTTGGCTGCAAAAAAGTGAGTGTTTATGTGCAGAATGAGTGTTGAAAGAACAAGGCAATAGTGTAAGGCCTGTTTTTATGAGTTAATGTTAGAAGATGTTTTTTAATGTTTCATCCTGTGCTCATTAGTGACTGCCAATCACATCTCCTCTCACATGCATGTGAGAGAAATGCTGCCAAGTGGGAATATAGCCAAATAAACAACATATAATGCTTGCCTGTCTACTCATAGAAGAAGCCTGCTTTATTAAATGATTCAATATTTAAACTCCTTTACATGATCAAATTAATTTCTGTAAAGTTTAAAAAACATGGCAGTAAACATAGACACTTACCACAAAGTAGTAGAGCTTGGATGATTTTGCCATAAATTCAGGTCTGCACATTCCAACCCCAACGCAGACCTGTACATTCCCAGTATATTGGCTCATCTCTGCTCTACCCATTTCACACACAATTCTGGAAACAAAAAATAACATAGCATAGCTTTTATTGTAAAAATTTAAGAAAGGAAGGCAAACAATGAAAATACTTGCTTAAACACAAGCAGGTGAAGGATTTGCCATGTGGAACATCCCAAAAAAGGAAGAAAAGGTTCTATCATATCAATTATAAATGCAAATAGTAAAAAGTTTGTCCCACTAAAATACCTAACTTCAAGGAGAAGAGGGAAAGTCTTTCCTTTCACATATGACCTAGAATACAGCTACTTTTTCCGCTGGTTCAGCATTTGCTTAGGAATTGCTGGCACACAACTTTCCTTCTAAGCAGAGGCCCTGGGTGAGATGATAAGGCAACTTTAAACTAATTTGACAGATGGCACCTGTAAGAAGCCCAAACTTGGGATTAAACTCAAATGTCAACTAAATCTAACCTCTGGAACATTCTAAAATGAATTTAGGTTGGTGTGCTTGCGTGTGCAGCTACTTGTGTGTATGAACTATGAAATATAAAGGCATAAGCTATGCACAAAAGCTTATCTACTAGAAAAGTACTACGTACTTTATGCATGCTGCTGACACTTTAGTTTCCATTCATATGAATTATTCTAAAGATATGTTGAAGACATGATTACATGAAAAACTCTTGTTTATTTTTATTTTCAATTTCCCACAAAACAATGTAAAATTCTAAATGTGACTTACTGTTCAGCAGGAATGTATTCCTCTCGTATTGGGGTGCAGTCCACTTCGGCCACTTTGACGTTACCCTGAATCTCTCTGAAGTCTAATCCCAGGTTCTCACCTCGGATAGTCACAAGTGTGCCACCTTCCCTGGGGCCCCGGAGAGGGGTTATCTGTTGAGATTCAAATATTGACTAATGACTTCAAGCATATAATTTTGTCAAGTGGGTCACTAATGCTTTTGTTTAAATGGTAAGTGTTTGTGTTATCTAAATTAATCATCTTAGCCTTTCATTCAAGGCCTTAAATTATAGGAAATTAGTAGAGAATAAAATGAGCGCTCATATTCACGCATATCCAGCCAAAATAAGAATGCACCAAATAGAAATGCAAGTATTCAAAATAAAACAGTTTAATCTACGGCCAAATTATTATTATCTGTTTTTTTTCTTTTTCTTAGATAGGTCTAAAGGTTTAATTATGTCTAACTTTTGACATGTTCTCTGGAGATGCGTTTGTCTTAAGGTGAGTTGCACAACCACAGCGATACAAACAACAAAGAAATAATTACAGTGACAGCTAAAGACACGGGGTTAGTGGTCTGTCATTTCACAATTCGTCTTCAATAAAATCCACAAAAATCTGTTAAATGAGAAACTTAAATTCTGACATTGGATGAGATGTTTGCAATGATCTGTGTATTTCTGATTTATCTGATTCATCTCTCACTGCAGATAATGTGCCTGCAACATCTATCAACAAGTTTGTCACAAAGGTACCTTTAGGCCAATGAGTTTGTGTTACGTATACATCATCAGGCCTGTCCAAATGGATGGATGTTACGAGCAGACACAATAGTCTGTCCTTATTTGTCTTTGCCAAATAGCAGTCACCCAGGCTGCAGGCAACAGCCAGCTCTAATGGTGACTCTCACTGGTTTCATCTTATTCAATAAAAGGCACTGTGACCCCTCATGGTTTTTGCCTGACAGGTAGAGCAGCTGAATGACTAAGTGAGGCCTTTTCTTATGGTTTCTTTACATTGTTGCCACAAGAACATCAAAGGATTTTCATGCGAGTGTTTAATTTATTTTAGAATAAAACAAATTAAAATAGCTCTGCTTGTAAAAAATACATCCAATCAAATCAATGAGGCAAGCTCAAGTCAGGTCATGCACAACACAAGTCCTGAGTCTGTCATGTGGGAGATATCGTTATCATATGGTTCAGTGTCTCTGATTAAAGACTCCCTGCTGATATCTTAATGAAAAAAAGAACCTTTTGGGAAAAGTGCCATAATACATGCAATTATAAAAGATTGCACACAATGCCTTTTGGCTCCCCATTTATTTGAAAATATGAAATTTCACAAGGAGGAATGACTAAAAGAGAAATGGTGGTGGAAAAAGTCGAAAAAGAATGTTAAAGAGAGGGCGGGACAAAATGAGGCATTGATTAGATTTGTGACTTTTTGACAAGATAATTGATGGTTGGGTAGAGGCAAACACTTAATCACTTCTTCCCTTTTTCTCCCTTTTAATCTTTCAGTGAAAGTCTCTCTTGCTCATATTGTTGATGGGAGATGTCATTATAATGAAGCGTATTAGAATGCATTAGAGCCCGGGTTGTCTTGAGCAAGTCCTAACTCTTCACCACTGACAGTTTTTATGGGAGATGTGAAAGGGCTGCAATATGCTCCGACTTCAGCCTCAGGGATGTAAGGAGAAATACAGACCCATCCACCAGAATAAATCCACTAAAGAGTAGGAATGATGAGCTGTAACTGAGTGACCCACACTCTTTAATGAGTGGAAAGATGGACAAAATATTCAGATCATTCCCCCTCCATCTTCGTTAATATTTTAATCAATTTTTTCTTGAATAAAATAAACAGTAATTAATCATTAAGGATGATAACATCAAGTAAATAGCAAAAAAAGTTTTTCAAAAAAGCAGCCAATAATAATTATTTACCTGATTAAATAAATTAAAGGAAAAAACATGCTTAACTGGCAAAGGATTTATAAAAGAGGATAATTCAAAATTGAAAATATATGAGAATCAAAATGATGTTAACCTTTAAATATGAATAGTTACCTTCCGGATAAAATTAAAGTGTAGTTATTTTAGTCAATTCAATGGCAATATTTTTCAGTCAAGTCAAATAAAGAGGATATAGTGTTGTTTGATATAGGTTTAAATTAAATTGTGATATAGGTGCAAGAAAAAAAGATGTTGCTGTGTAATAATAGCATCCCTTTACAACATTCTGTGTACAAATATTTAGTTTCCAGATGAGCAGGTAGTCGAAAAATTTGTGTTATTACAAGTAGACTTTGAAGAATAGATGCCTTTGACGCTAAAAAATGTTTCATGGTTTATAAAACATATCTTCAAGGAATATCTCATTCCTTCATTAACTTAATCTCATCAGAAAATGGGTTATGATTAAAAAAGTTAATAACGCACAAAAACTAATGTAAAGGCCTAAACACTCCTGGACGCCATCCCATAAGGTTAACATGATCTGTGGACGTTACTTATTTTTCAAGGGGATTTATTGTGCTGCTTCCACTCAATCTTCAATGAGTTAGACAGCTGTGTGCCTGCAGGGGATAAGAAAAGATTCCATTTGTATCTCCCTATTTGTTCATGCCTATAATTTCAGGACAGCTCATGATATTTCCCATCTGCCCCATCTTAAGTCAGTTGCCATTTTCTTTAGACACAGGCAGATTCGATAGTTAGTTTAGACAGATTTAGGGATAGATAGAACAAGTAGAAAGTAGATTGAGCCTTTATATTCATCACTGTCAGAAAAAGGAAGGTGGGTAAAGAGAGGTCTTTGCGTGTTTTTTTTGCGTTGTTTTGATTTTTTCACCCAGTCCAATCCATCACCATCCTTCTTTTATGCAAGCCAAACCCATCCCCCTCTCCTATCATCTGGGCAGTTTTCCATCCATATTTCCTTTGGGTCCCTGTGTGATTCATCTCACTGATTCTTTTCACATCTGCTATTGCCCTTTTTATATGTCATGTACAGGTCAAGTACATTTAACCTATGTGATGTTTTCAGGAGCAGCCAAGGTTAAGTGGGGCTTTTTTCATGACTCTCTGTGCAGATGATTGATAACTTGCAAGTGCAAGAAAAACTGGTTTCTCTTAGCCTTACATGTGTTACAAGTCTAAGTGTTTGAATGTTCACATTTAAAGTCAGAATGAAATAAACTGTGTTATTATTACTGTCCTGTACAAAGGTGTAAAATATGTCCTACCCCACAGAATACGTTGGAGTGAATAGATGATGAGTCACATCCTCTGCCATTAGTTAAAAATCATAAGCTGCCACAATGTCTCATAGATAAGTAGGTTCCCATCAGTGCACTATAATTATGGTGTTTGAGGGGAGAAAAGCACCTCCATTGTGTCTGGAATCGCCTGGTCCATGTAAGTGCTGACATGTCAAGTGCTACAATAAGAATGGAAATACAAGGTAGTCTTGCAAAATAACCCTCCATGTGTTTGCGTGCCTCACCTGTGTGATCCGTGGGTGGGTGCACTTGCTGTTGATGCCGTTGTTTTCTAGCCACTGATTTTCAGGGTGCAGGCAGTGTTGCTTGAGTGTGCAGCGGTTCTCTCCTTTGCACCAAACGCATCCAAACAGTGGGTCAGCCTTCAAACACAAACCACAGCTTCCACGCTGGGCATTACACTTGTAAAGATGGACTGTGCAGAAAGGAAGAAAGAGGCAGTGAGAAGGGGATAAATAAAATGATAGGGTTGAGATGAAAGATGAAGAGTTCACCACATTTGAATAAATTACAGCAACATGGAAACTGAAGAAACGTGTATTTTGGGGAAAAAAAATGACAAAGCTGTGGAACAACTAAATGCATAAACTGACCTTGGAACAAAATCCTATCGCTACACCTATCATCTTTTCATACTCATGCTTCCTTCCATTAAAGCCAAGTAATGTTTCTACATTGCTGCATCCCACCTCTCCTCAACTATTACAGATTTAACATATCTCCATGGTAACAGACCAGACATTTTCATTTTAATTGCCATTAGATACATGTGTGATATACCCATCAAGAAATGCCCTAGAAGCTGCTTCCTCCGCAGGCAAACAAAGGAAGGGGAAGGTTTGAGAAATGTTCTCTATTTCAAGCATCTCATGCTCTGTTATTTTGTTGCCTCTTTGATTCTGCACTTATGCTTAAGGATATGTTTTGTAGACAGTGTTTGACTCAGACTTTCATGTAAACAATCTCAAACACTTGACAAACTTTGCCTTACAGCGCAGTGTCATTCTAACATTTAATCCACATTTGAACAATACATCTTGTAAGCCTGACTCCACAGCCGTTGGTAAAAATGTGTTTCCTGTCAGAGAACTACAACTCCCAGCATCCTGATTTTGTTCCTTTTGCGTCATTAATAAATAAATAAATAAATAAGAGCAAATAAATAAAAAAACAAAAAAACATTGTCAACAAAAAGTTGACAGAAAAATTAATTGCCACTTATGTAAATAAATAATATTCTTGAGATGGAAAGTAAATGAAAATGAAAGAATTTGCAACAGGGCTGTAACCAGATGGAAAAGATACTCTCGGAAAGGAAAGACAGAATGTGTTAAAGTTAACCACTCTACACACTAACATTATCGAATAGATGCTTCACCTCAGCACACCACCCCACTGTTGCCATGGAGACAAGCTCCAAGGGCAACAATGGGGTGGATGCAGCTTTACAGTGTGTATTTAAGAGTTTGTAATAGACAACATGGAAAAAGTGTGAGGGGTTGGATCACAGCTGTGAATGTCTATGTGTGTGGGACTATAAAGCTATATAAATGGTTCTATTTGAATGCTCACCTTTGTTGTGGGTTGGGTTATCAATGCTGAAATCACCATTCCAGATGACGGTGAGCTCCACGGGAAGACTGCTCATCTCCATCCCATCATAGGAATACTGTTACCATGGCAACCAAAGAGAAAGGGACAGTGAAGGGAATACGACAGATGTCTTCACTCCATCTATTAACCAACCAACCAAAAGCCTCTGGTACCACAGTACTTTTCTGAATACAAATATACATCCACAGGTGACTTTACCCACTGAATACTCACATAAAACAAAATCACAGTATGCACACCAGAGAGTGTTAAAAGATTACACTATTTTCAATTTAGTCCTGGAACACCAGCAGCATGAGGGTTTGGTGCTAAAATCATAATTTTCTGCTGAATTACAGATCCCCTTCTTCACAGCTCGAAGTACAATATTTGGAATGCTCTGTAATCACACACGTGCACAAATGCAAAATACATCCTGACAAGCAGAAACTCACACACATACTTAGTGTGATGAAGATAGACAGGAAGATGGGATGTTATTCTATCAACAGACGATTAGCATCAAGACCAGCATAAAGCCTTTTTCATGCTTGCTGTCAATGTATTATCCAGTCTGTGAAAGGAGCATCATCAGAGGGATGTCTGTGTAGTAGAGACAAAGTAGGGCTCTTATCTCATCTACCTCCTGTCTAGCTGGAAAACTCCCTGAGCTGGAATCACTTTGTGCATGTGCCTGAGAGAGCATCCTACAATTGAAATGGGATGTCTTCATAGATACTGTGTTTGCACTCATAGGTGTTGTGAGATTATGGAACATAACAAATGCTGACGCAGTCAAACACACTCCTTACCGATGTGTTTTGGCACTGCACTGAAGAGCTGTTGAAACGCAGGGCTGGAACTCTGTGCTCAGTCCCTTGGATGGTGAGCACACACTCATATCCCCGCTGTCCAGACTGTGGCTGGGGGAGGTTCTTGGCCCGCAGGGTAATAGGCTTTACCACACTGACTGGCACTAGTATCCTTTCTGCAGGCAGCAACTGGGGACACCCCTGGGACACACGCAAGAAAGGAAGGATTCATGTCAAATGAATAACTCATAGATTAATGCAGCTAAATCTATTCTTCACTGAGGATATCAACTTTATTCGTCATTTAAATTATATTCACAGACATGTCAACTCTGAACTGATAACTCAACTGATAACAGACTGCTCAACGGTACTTCACAAACATTAATCTAACTGAACAAGGGTGCCATTTCACTTTGAACAATTCCGGAGTTTGGTGCTTTAACTCATGCCATTTCCTGTTGACTTCAGTCGAGTGGTACCACTTGGTTAAACAGTCATAGAACCTGTTCGGATTCAAATGACCAAAAGGCCAGCAGTGTAACGAACCAGAAAATTACAAAGATTATATGAGCCATGTTTGATTCCATAGGCATAAGGTATTTCATGTTTGATTCAACTTTAGATATCTGGGGAAATGGGACCTTTTCAAGTGAAGTTTGCATGTTGTCCCCATTTGTCTGTGTGGCATTATCTGGGTGCTCTGGGATCCTCCCAACGTCCAAAAACATGGATGCTAAGTTAACACTCCAAATTGCCTATTGAAGTGAATGTGTGTGGTTATTTGTCTCCGCGATTTGTTGCCCTGTGATGGACTGGTGAACTGTCCAAAGTGCATCCCGCCTCTCGCCCTCTGTCAGCTGGGATAGGTTTCAGCCCCCCGCGGCCTCGTTGGGAATAAAGCTGTATAGAAAATGGAAGTATGGATATCTGGGGAGAAATTATGCCCTGACAGTCCAAAATTAGGCTTCTTACTGCCTGTGTGGTAAATAGGTAGGATTCAAAATAAATGGAATAGTGAGAGAGGATTGAAGATGGAGCCGCAAATCACTTAGCAATTGATGGTCTAAAATTAACAGCCAATCCTGTCAGATGAGAGCTGGTTAAATATAGAGCACCTCTGAACTTTTGGAAAAAAAACAAGGATGAGGTGAAAGAGAAGGACAGGTGTTGAATGGGGAACAGATGGACTGAGAAAAAGAAAAACACACACATATAAGTAAAATGAGAAGCAAAACAAAGATTTAAGAAAATTGACTGGCAGCATATGTGAAAATGGAGTTGAGGGGAGGTAAAAAAAATAGCAAACAGAAGCACCCCCCCAAGCTCCTGGCAAAATGTTTAAGGTTTTTGATAAAGAGACTAAATGAGAGAGAGGGGATGAACAGAAGAACAGAGCAAATTAGGGAGGCAGAAACTAAATCAAGTATATGTGACAGGAGAAGCTTTAGCATGTCAAAGACAGGAGGAATGAGGGTTAAAAGAAGTAAAGCAGATAAGGTGAACCCAACACAGTTGGAGCTATGTGTGATGCGGTGGGGCTAGTGAACCACAGCATGCGTCAAACACTTGTTTGAAGTTCATTAAAAGCCATTTGATTGGGTTAGGCTTAGTGAGTGACTGACTGGATAGTTGGGTGATGAGCAAGAGGGGAACACACTGTGACACTATTCACAAAGTCATTATAGATAAATGACACACAGAGAGAGTGGGAAAAGAATAGAGTGGTCATGTTTGCTATTCCAAATCTAATTTTCCTGAGAATGAAGTGCCATATTTCGCGAATGAAAATAAGAGAGAGAGCAAAGAGAGATGCAATCCATTTTTAATCAAATCTCTTCGAGTGAATACACTTAATTAATAAAGAACATTGAATCCGATCTAGTTTGTGGAAATAAAAGGCATGGAAACATGACATAACATAATGACAGTCAAATCTTTAAGAAACAAACCACACTGATAGTGAACTATAGCAATGAGACAACCGTTTAACAAGTGTTTCTGTGTATTCTGTATACAGAATATATATGTATAGTTCTTTGCTTTCTCCCTTAAAGACGCGTGACTGGTTTGTTGCTGACCTCTGTCATTTCTCTTGTCAACCATCTCACTGATTCCATTTCCTCTCCTCTTTTCCATTAGTTCTTTTCTTCTTGGGGACCTACTTAGATCTGATAATTAGACGCTGGTGGGAGGTGTGAAGGGTGGAGATGGGAGAAGTGACAGAGAGTAGGAAGCTAAATGGAACTGTGAATGTAAAAGCCCTTGGCATAGTTTGAAGCAAAACAGGGAGGGTGATGGTGAGAGAGAAAGACCCATAATTATAGCTCTGTAAGGTGTGAAGATGAAGAGGATCTTAAGTTTTTATACACACACACCCTGAAACACTCACACACCCTGTGGTTACCTAAAACTTCCCAGATTCTGTTCTATCACATCCAGCAGAGCTTGGGGCAAAAACACTCCAGTTTTCCTTTCACCCAGTCTCCCTCCCTACTGCTTCTTCACCTTTTTCCCCTATTATAAATTATTCACCTCAATTTTCCTGCTGCAACTTTGATTTGCTCTTCAGGAAACATTCAAATGTCTCATGATTTCTTTTGATCAAGATACAACTACTTTTTTTTAACTAAATGATAATATTTTAAAGCTTAGCAACAGTTTACTTTTCAGTTGACTCAGGCAGAAGTTAAATGAAATGAAAGTGCACATATGACTCAACACTCCGTACCAGTGCATGACCGCAGATCTCTAGCAGTCATATATAACTGGGGCAGTTAATAGCCATCACTTTAATAATAGTCTTGAATAAATAGTTTTCAATAAATTCCTGGTAAATGAACTCGAGAATACTAATCTCTGCAGTGTGGTTAATAAGTATATAAGACAAGGATACAAAATTCTGCATTTACAAGAAGATGAGTGATATCTATTGCAATGGCATTCATATTTTATGTTTACATCTCCCTGCCAGCTGAATATATGAGGGAAATGTTTAGCCACAGCTCAGGATATGAGCATGATGTGCTGTAGACATGAAAAGAAGAAAGGAAAATATCCTCCTGTGGATTTCATCAGACAATGAGAACCGGGAGTGTCCCCAGTTTCATCATTTCTATGGTTAGACTACACTATGTGCTTTAAAGTGAAGTTTTTTTTTTAACTCTTAAAAACACATACTGTTCATCAGGTAAACAACCAAAACCAGTTAACTCAGTGGTGAAAAAAATTATTTGCGCTCTCGTCTGGATACCTAAATGCTGCAATGGGAAAGAAATTTGCTAGAGAGAAAAAATGTCTAAGTCCTTGAGATGTATGGAGGGCAAACAGGGACATGGCCTTGATTAATGTCCCAACAGGCAAATGGCTGATCCTTGTGCCCATATCATTGCTGGCAGGAATAAAAAGGCATCAACTGCATGCCTAGGCTGACTTTAACGCCATCCTGCAATGCATACTAACCATGAGCTCAACCAGTAGGGAGATTTTGCTGGCCTCAATAATTAAGGGATTATTGAGATCACTGCCTGAAATCCCTTAATTGTAATAGTACACAAAATCACTGTTTTTGAACATTTTGGAATGAGTCTATAGATGGTATATGCGTATGTTCTTAAGCTTGGATTTGTCCGTTGCAACTATCAATTCTAAACAGCATGCCAAAAGCTTTCAGCAAATACCTGACTGGGATTTAAGGGGTTAATGAAAAGCAAATCACAGGTCATTAAGCATGCACTGCACCTGCTTTTTCAGAAACATCATGTCAAAAAAGGAACGTCATTAATGTGCTAATACCAAATCCCACTTGGTTTATTTATGGTTTTCTTTTAGTGATCATCACATGAGAAAAGAATTTGCACATTATCAACCAGAGCCAATATTGACTCTAGAACATGGGCTAATTGGAAAAATAAACCAGCAAAGATTCAAATTTGGGCAAAACTTGAGACGGTTTAAAATAATAATGCAAATAGAAAAAAACAATAAAATAATATTGTCTATGCAGGTTGAATGGCTTGGGGGAAAATGGGTGGAATAATACAATTGCAAGCAGACTGCTCATCAAAGGAAGCAATCTGGCTAAGCTTGTCCCTGCCCATCGTGCAGCGTCTGCCAATCCAGACATAAGCACCAGTGATCTTCATCATAGCTCACCTCAGGCTAGGATTAACAAGCCACAAACTCCCTGAAACACCCTCCCCTCCTGAAAGCCACACTGAAATGGCACTGTACAGCCACATTTTGCAGATAACTTATATTTTTAAACAAATACATTTCAAATAAAAATATGAACAGTATGCGCAAAAACAGTACCACTGTTTTCACCAGCCCATATCATAAGAACATTTGCTTGCTTACTTTGACCTCCTTGGTTTACCCTTGAAGACTACTGCACTGACTGAATCTTCTCATATATTGGGGAGTGGTCGGGTTGAATGTATCCTGTCCAGCAAGTGTCTGCTCTCTGCAGCAGAGCAGACTAATTACAGCGGGCTCTGCTTCTTCGGGAAAAGAACTGGCTGCCAATATTATTGATAATTCACAAAGACTAAGCTGTCGCAGGGAATAGGGATGGGCATGTGGAAATGACTCAGTTTTATTAGCTTCCATTGCCCTTTGATGTGCAGTCAGGAACTAGACACGCCAAGAGACTCAAGCCAGATGGAAGTACTACTGCTGAAAGGTGTCTCAATCCTTTTAATAACTCTTTTTGCAAGTGAAATCTCCTATGAAAGCTATTAGTCTTACATAGCCAAACATTTCCCCTTAATTTATTTTACTATGTATTCTAACTTACTTGGCACAAAATAAACAGGCTGGCTGGAGATGCAGAGACTGACTGAAATTTTTGAATGGGGTAAAGTAAGAGATGCTGCTAAGATATTTGAGCCTTGTTGACAACAGTTCAACTTTGAATCAGGTACAAAACATTTTCACAAATCCAGCAATGGTCTAGGAACTTGTTTCATTCTAACAAGAATGTTCCCTCTTGGAGATTTCCTGGTCTATATTGGAATTTAATAATAGAAAAAGAAGCTGAAAACAAAACAAACAAACAACAAAACTAATACCTAAAACTCTTAACACAATTCTGGGACCCACCTCCGGTTTTTTGACCCTTCCCTCCTGGAAGGAACATGTGCGAGGATCATGGGTGCAGTCATGTCTGTATTTACACCAGTGGCACTGGTAGGGGCTACTCACACATGACAGACACCTAAAATGAGAGTCAAGAGAAGACAGGCCTTTGAGTTAACATCAAACCAGAGCAATTGCAAGACAAGAAAAAAGCTTTGTATGTCCACATACTTATGTCTACAATTAAATAAATGAAGCATTGCTTTATACTAAGATTGACCTGCATCCGAAAACTATTAGTAGTCATGACTCACGACTTATGCACGCTACAGTTGTAGAAAACAAAACTGGTGTTCACAAATGCCAGGCCTGTTTCCTTGGACTTGAGATAGAGCTGCACAATCTGGTGGTCCCCTGGATGGATTAAAAAAGAGAAAAGAAAAAAAAAACATTCAAAGTTCATACTTCATACTTTATTATTTTAGGGCATACTTAAGCAGGTCTTAATTTGCACTTTTATTTTGTCCATAAAATTTTCCAGGTCTTTCTAATATATTTCTAATTACTTGCTCATCCTTAAGAGTCTCTATATTTTCCAACCAAGAAAATGAATATCTTCAAGCCACAAGTGATGAGCTTGTGGCATCGGTAAAGAAAAAATCTTGAAAGGGAGGGAAAGTAGTGTAGAATGCTTTTGTTAATTTTTCTTATTCCTGGAGTACAAGATACAAATGACCCACATGAATTCCCCCTTGAGATGGTCAATACTACCCCTTAAATGTCTTTGAATGTATCTTTGACAACGTAAAAAGAGAAGAGGATGAAACTGCTAATGTGTGTTATTGTGTAAAAGTGTGAATGAGCTTGTGGTAAATCTGTATTTTGTGTGTCCTTTTGTCTGGCACTAATGAAGGAGTTCATGTTTAATTCAACACCACATCCACATACCTAACTGCTCTCTCCCTCCACTAGCTCTGTACCTTTCCCTCTCATCCACATTATCTCTGAAGACAAGGCTCTTCTCTTCCTTTCCATACTATGACTCTTTTTTTCTATCTTGCCAACAAAAAAGGAATCATTAATCAATCACAGTAAAGCACCACTGACAAGGAATCTGTCCTAATTAGGCCACCAAAATGTTACCTTGAAGCTTTGTAACACTACCCATCCCTTCTTTACTCTGCCGTTCCTCTGCAGCTCTTGGTTCCTCCTTTTTTTGCTTATCAATTTAAAGCAAAGGGTTGGCAAAATGCTGTAAGCCTTCAGGTGTGTTTTGGAATTTATATTTACACACATATGTTTGCATGATTTTGGCATTACCTGGTTTGCAGTTGGCTAATATGGTAAAAAAAAAAAAAATATATATTTTTTTTTCTAATTATCCAAAGGAGACTCGTGATCCTAACGATGTTTACTGAACATTTGTTCAACCCATCATTGTGCATTCTGGTATATGTAAAGTTTGAGTAAATTGATATCCAAATATTTTATTCTAATTTTATGGAGGGATGGTACTTTAATTATCTCTGCATGAGGACACATAAGGTTTATGGGCCTGTGCACAGATATAGCCATATGGCAGCCGTGTCAAATTAAACCATCTTAGCCAACTCCAGTAAGAGGTGGTGAGGAAGAATAAAAAATAATAATAAATATATATATGTGTGTGTGAGTGTGTGTGTGTGTGTGTGTGTGCACACTATTTTTGTTTCATTGTAACTGTATTTTCTATGCAATGGAAACAGTGACAATGTGTCTGGGGTCTCTGATCTTCAGGTTAGTTGCTACAAAAAAGCTGTACAGCTTAATGTTCTCCTTTTGTATTGTGGTTAAATGGGGTCCCAAAACTCCCTATGGATCACATTCATTTTGGTAGGAAGCTAGGTAAATCCCAAAACACAGTAATAAGTAATGTTCATTCAGTCACAAAACATATCCTAAGGCATTGCTCTGAGGCCTGTTGAGCTGCTGATGGCGACGAGAAAACAAGGATTCATGGGACGCTTCTCATTGTGAGACTAGCAGTTATACAATTCTAATGCAAGTCTTTTTAAGTAATGACTTTTTTTATGTACTTGTATATTTAACTGATATTATTAGCCAGGTTTCACAGATAAAAACTTTTATGTTGTGTAAAGAAATGTAATGTTTCATGTAAATTGCTTTTAAGTTCCCTACCTTTGTCAACAATAATGCGTGGCATTTCTTTTTCTGCAGGGGAGGAGCACTTAATCCGATTTCCCTCCACCAATCCGTTCATCTCAGTGAGGTCTTCAAATGTACAGTTCACACCTGCCGAAAGTTCTGGGACATTATGGGCTTCTAGCACCAACTGTAAAAAGGAACAGAAAAGAAAGGAGATGTTCAGTGGCAATAGTATGAACACTAGGCCTTTTGAGAAAGACAGATTTGAGATTAATAGCAAAAATAATCCAATAAGGACAAAACTCAGAGTAAAGGATGGAAGAGGGTTAACTGACATGGAGCAACGGAAATGAATAACATTAGCACAGATAAAGGGTCAGTACTAGTTTGACCCGTATTACCCTCCACTCTGTCCTGTTTCTGCCGAGGGTCCACCTTCCAAACCAATCAGGGGATGTCAATTATTAAGCCTACATCAGTGCAGGCTAAGCAATACATATTCCCTTCAATAATGTGGCAGTTTCTTTCTGGAAACAGTGTTCCACCAGTTCCTTTCAGATGAATCGAGTCAGTTATACAAAATGAGAATTTTGCAAAATGCAAAGACTCATGATGCTCCCTGACCCCGTTGCTATTCAGAACCTTTGAAACAGATGTAATACCAATTCTTGGACTTCGGATATGTTTGAGTATTTTGTAAAATCATTCTTACCGTCAACAATTAAATGAACAGGGTTTGTATTTTTAGAAGGTTATGAAACATTTTCAATATGTGATGACAGGCCATCCCTGTTTCTGTGTGAGAAAATTCCAAAGTTTGTCTTTATAAAGTTTTCTTCTACAAATGTCGATTTGATTCAACGCAAGAGGACTATTAACCAAACAAAGAGTTGAATATAAATATTATTCAATATTTCTTCTAAGTAAAAAAACAAAACAATGTTTCAATGAACATATTATATAATACAATATCATAATATTTTCTTCTGAAAATGCGTTGTAAGCTCTCTCAGCACATCAGGTGAAGGAAAAGGAGTAAAAGAAAAATAAACTGCCCTTGAAAAAAAGAAGAAGGGTTATAGTGGAAGATGGACAAGGGTCAGGGCCACAATAAGCATACTGATTGAAAACAGTGTTTGAAAAGCAGCACTGATTTGAGATGTTGCAGTACAACGCTGGTGATGTGACACTTACAATCTGCCGCGAAGGCAGAGGAGGGCTGACTGACAACATGCTTGTTGTTGACAAACAAAAGGGAACCTCAAAAAAAGGAGGAACTCACCAAACAGCATTTTTTATGTTTTCTCTTTACACTGACATAATGCATTCCCATGATAGCTGTACCAGTGATGACTTACAGATCACAGGACATTCAATGCGACTAATTATTGACCAATTACATTTGCATTCAGATGTTTTGTAACTATAGAAATAACCACAAATGCAATAAATGTGACCAATATTAGGAAAACATTTAGAAAGTTAAAGCTGAGTATTTTCAGAAACTTCAGGTGTGATGACTCCTTGTTTTCCATCAAATTCCTGTGTCATACTTTTTAAAACTAAAATCCAATATTACAAAGGTGGCTCCTGTCCATCTGACTAAATGCCCAGTGTTCAGTTGGATGGCAAATGTCCTCCAAAAGGTCAAACACTATGCAACATCACACAAATGTATCCAAAAATATAATTAGAATGACACAGAGGTGTTTCTAGCAATCAACAGCTCGTGAGTGAACCACCGAGCTGTAAGAGGAGGAGTATAGTTATTCTGTCTGACATTCAAGTTCTTTAAGTCATAGGTTCAAATATCTCTTGGTTGTAGTTAAGGTTAGTGAGATATTCAACTAATTCCATGTTACTATATAAATTGTTTATCTCCTTACAGAGCACTTTGAAATTGTTAGAATATTTCAAGTTGCTCCGTTGGTGCTATATCTTAGACACAAAAAGCTGCAGCCAAATCTCATGAAAATCACATTAAAATATAATGGAGAGGAAGGTGAAAAATGGCTGTCTTTTAGCAGGCTGAACATTAAATATATCTTTTAAAAATCCACGCAGAAACCCTTTTTAAAGAAAAAGAAAATCACAGCTTTTTGTGCACTGATCAATACTCTTAATAAAATACAAATTCAGACCCTTTAAATCTAGCAGCTGTCTCAGAGTGAAATGTCGAGGGGGCGAAAGTGCTGAATTAAGCTGCCAACGCTTGTAATAAACACACCAGAGCCAAACAGTGTGCTGTTAATGATTGCTGACATTTGTTTGGAGAGTATTTCACAAGTCTACATTGGAAGATACAAGGTCAGGATTTTAAGGATGCATGTTGGCAGGCAGTAAAATTATACAAAGCAGGATTGGAGAGTTAATACTGTCTACTTTTAGTACTTAGAACATAATTACGTCGTATTAAAAATCATGCTATTATTATATATTGCATTATATCATACATTATAAATTGTGATATTGCCCACCTGCCAGACAAGATTTTTCCCTCAACATCTTCAGTCACCACAAATTTAATGAAACACCACAAAAATACCCGCTTGTCTTTTTAAAATAAAAATTTTGTGAATTACTCCTGATTAAAGTTTGAAAACGTTTATCCCTCAAGTGGTGCAAGAATAAAACATCTTGACACAATTATTTTAAAAAATTGGACAGAAGGCCAAAAAAAAAAAAAAAAAAAACTGGGCCACTCTTATAGTTCCCCTTTCACTGTGTAGAATGTATTTGTGTTTATTCACTCACCGTGACACTAAACTGTGACACTGATATGTTGTTAGGGTGGACACTGAGCCGCACACACTGCTTGATGTCTGAAGCAAAGCGCCTGGGCTCTGATGAGCGCTCACATTTCTCTTTTCTGGCACACCTGAAAGAAAAAGAAAACACATTGAGAAGGCATTGCTAGTAGATGACAAATATACACAAGTGCATTCATATGGAAAGCTGATCAGGTCCTACTTCTTTCCACCTGTTGGCTCTGGGGAAAACCAGAGAATGTCCAAACCTTCAACAGGAGGAATTAGAAACATTTATCATATTTCTTCTCTGGCAGTGTACCAGCTACAGCGATCAATGAATAGAGGCCCAGTCACAACAGGGGTGGGAGCAGTTGCATTTAAAACAATGCTTGCTTTATATGTGGAAGTGAAGCCTGCCCACAGGGAAAGAGAGGTTGCCTGGTCTTTGTGCGGCCATCTTAATGACTGGCATTCATGGGTGATGCCAAAAGCAGGTGGGAATGAGGATGCTGGTGTGGGGTTGGATAGATTACTCCCCCTCTTAATACTGGCCCAGGAGGTCTAATCCAGTCTATTACAGTGGCTTGGGGAGTTGAAGGGTCCAAGCTATTATGCTTACTGACTCCTTACCAATTGCAAACCCTTGACAGACTGCAAGTCCCCATAGCTAAAAGTGTTCTTTTTTTGGAGTAGTAGTAAGAGTGCGGCCATTCAGTCCTCATATTCATCAATCTATATTTTAGAAATATGGATTGATGACGTTTTGTACTGTTAAGCGAGAAATAAACCCAATGACTTGTCAAATAAAACTAAATGTCTTCTTCACAACATAACTTCATACTGCTGTTCAGATTTAATCCTTTCACAAATGTATTCAAGATAAATCCTCAGTTGCCTTAGTGAAAAACTTGCAGTTCAGTGAAGAAGCAAGCAAAATCACAAAGAAGAGAGGGAGGGCGAGAAAAAAGCACATCATGACGAATTCATTAAAATAAGACTTTTGAGGTGTATGACGTGTAAGATCCTGTAATACCTTTAGTTAAAAGTAGCTTTTTCTCTTAAATTGGAGAGATTGATAGAGGAGTGACCTGACATGAATATTTTAAAGTTAAGCGGCCTAATATGATGCAAAGAAGACAGACATAAGGGAAATGGGGGAAAGATTTCAGGAATGCAGCCCTTGTTGGCTTTCAGTGAAGCTTTACCTACTAAGCTGCTTTGAGTTGGGGTTTAATTTTTTTTTTCTATCATTGGTGTGTGTGTGTATGTGTGTTTTATCACTCACTGATTTACCAAAACCACATCATTCACATAGTGCTAAGGCCAATAGTTCACATAGAAAATCCACAAATGCACACTCACAGACTAATGTGCCTGTAATAAAAAAGTTTGACTCCTTCAATAATCATAGTCTGCTGTTTACACATGAGGAAGACTGAAGCCATTTACACCCACTAACGTGAACCGATTTTCATTCCAGTTTGCATACCAATTCATTGCCTATTCTGAACATTCAGAGAAAGAATAAATGCATTAAGAATTTATTAAATAGAAATTTCTATTGCAAAGAATGACAAGTGATAGAGAAGGCAGAAAACTCTGTTAATCAGACAAAACCTACATTGGAGAGACCTAGTCTTTGGTTAAAATGGTTGGGACTAGTTGCATAGCTAGAGCTAATTTACTGAAAAATGTGTGTATTTAAATATTGTGTGAACTGCAACAGTGTCAGTTTATTATCATTTGAAAGCTTAATGATTACATGATTTTAAATTATTTCTGATTGTTTCTACTGTTAAAGATATAAAAACTGTTGGAACACACACAATATAACACTTAAAACACTTAACACTTAAAAATACATACACACACATATACATATATATATAATTTCCTATCAAATCTTTGACTTAAAATTAATAATGTACGATTAATTTAATCTCTAGTATTATTTTCTTATATTCTACTTTTGCTATTTATTTTACTGATTGGTTTCTTTTCAGCATTATTTAGCAATGTCAAAATTATACCCTGTTTCAAAATCAGAGTATTACTGCAGCTTATAAATCAATATGCCTTTCAAATTGCCCCTTGTACAATGGTTCATCTCTGACTCCTACATTCACATGAGTTAAATACCAATATGTACAAAATTCTAACAAAGTGTGTTGATTGATAAGGAATTGGCTCAGGCCTGATAAATGTCTGTTTTGTCTCGGTGAGCAACATAGGAACCAGGTTTATGATATCATCTTTTTGAGATTCTTGCCACTGTAAATAAAAAGGAACAGAGGAATTCATGAGAACTGCAGTAATGTAATGTAAGCTGCCAGGACTTGTAAACGTCAATATCACAACAAAACATTCTTTAAAAAGGTATTAAAAAGGTATCATGTGCATAGTTTATATTGTACAGTGTTTATGAGACATTATTTTTGCCAAGATTTTTGGCCCTTAACTTTTTATTGTCTGTGAACATTTCTAGTTATCCATCTTAAAACAGTTACACATACAAGACATCATGAGGCAATAACTGGGATGGAGGGGGGTCTCAAATACATGCTTCTGTGTTAATGCTTGATGACAGAGATTAATAAATCCTTGAAACTACTTTAAAAAACGGGTGAGTAGTTATATTAAAACAGTGTGTGTAGCAAACATGGACATTTTCTTGAAAAACAGAGCTATCCTAATTCAAATTAAAAGATTGAATCTGTCAAAGGATCTGTTGATTATGGCAATCTTTTCTAAGAAATCCAACCGCTATCAACGGTAATGTCATCCCATATGTCAGCGGCTTACATTTACCTTATTCAATCGGTTAAATCCATTACTTAGTATTCCTCTCAGAATTTACGGTAGTGTCTGTGCTCTATTTTCCATATTTTAAGTTTAACAACCTTTCATGGAAATAGATACAATAATTTGAACTTTTTATTTTTACAGCAAAACTGTGTTCCATCCTGACTTTACTGGTTTCAGACATATTTCAGGCAATTAAGATCTCTCAACATGTTCATCCTGTTGTCTATTTATTTAATTTTGTTGCTGATTAAAGGTGAAATTTTGACATGTAGATTTCTGGGCATGTCGAACCTCTGCAAAGCTACATAGCTAAAAAGATTTCTCTCTCTCAGAGGATGAGCTTCCTTAGCTGGGTGAAATGTTCTGATACCGGTAAACGTTCCCTTCCAAGCCAGAATGTTTCGTATCAATGTCTGTGAAATAGGCTTCCTTACTTCATGGGCCCCACAGGTAGCTGTGGTTCAACTTCAGCTTTCCCCACAGGCATAACAACTGTCATCTTCTTGTCAGAGACAGAAGGTCACAAACTTGCTGTGGGATAAAAAAAAAGGCAAAATGTGGAATGATAAAGCATTCAATCTATACAGAAACTGTATAGTTCACTGTATAGCTCCTCAACAGAGGAGTGAATCTACTCTATCTCTCTACTCTGCATGCCTACATGCCTATGGGCGACGAACAGCTCTGCTTTTTAAGTTTTTAGAATTTGCTTTAAGGAACCCTGAGCACTGAAACAAGAGTAAAGAGGAGGACTTAAACACAATATATACAAAACAATGTATTCCAACAACACACACCAGCATTAAGTTGAGATGAAAGATGACTGATCCAATAACCAGTTCCAGTTTAAATCTATGGAAAGTTGACTATTATCTTCTTTATAATTAGCCTTTCACAAACATTGTACAGCATAATGTCCAGCGTTTTATTGCATTCCCTTTGTTCGAGGACAGCAGCTAACCATTCTGATATGCTACACCTGCACTTTTTTTGAAGCAGTGGTGTTGCATACTGATCTCTAAGCAAAGTGTTGGACAGCTACAGATATAGATCTGGCTTGTGTTAACGTCACTATGAAGGTACATTTATGTAGATACTATAGCTGACTTGGAGATTTAGTGAAATAAGACTGAAGATGTGGCAGAACAACGTTTAAAACGATACATGAAGTGGGCACTTTCAGAGCAAAGCACTAGATAATTGTTTTCAATTACTATCCACATAGACTCTGAAAGAGAGATGATTGCATCATTTGTAACAATATTAAAGTCCGGCCCTTTGTAAACATTCTGTAGTAGACTGTTTAGCAAACCCCACAGATGAAAGCAATCTACAGTACAAATAGCTGACATAAAAAAAGATTCTATGGCTGTCTCTTTCACAGAATTAGACATCCAGCGTTCCTTTGTTTTGTTAGTAAACATTGCTGTTGTGCAGAGCTGATTGACTGTCTTGCCATGACACATTGTAAGAGAGTGAGCCGAAAGGATTAGATGGACTTTGAATGAAAATGAATCCGCACTCTTGTTTCTCCCAGCCTTTGATATGGTGGCACAATTAGAGAGGAAGAAAGGGACTAAAGAGAGAGTAGAGAATGATTTCTAGTCTTGGCAGTTGTTGCTGATGAGACTGTCAAGGCCAGTCAGAAGTACATAGTTTTATAAGTGGTATATTTAATAAAAACATCTCTCATTCAGCTCTTTATAATTTCATTGACAAAATGACACATCAGTGCAGTATGTTCATGGAGAGCAAATTAATATCCACAATCAACACTATGTAAGGAATTTAGGTCTAAGTCACTCCAATGTCTTTATGAAGCCTTGAACCTTAAACAAGAATATGACTGACTTAACTCATAGCCTGGGCTTGAGATGTGATTAACATAATAGGCCATGGATTGTAACTTAATAGCATAAGTAATCAAATATTGAAGCCAAGAATGTTTTTCACTCTATTATAGCTATTTTTTTTTTAATTGAATGCATTTAATCCATTAATATTTGGAAGGGATGAGGAGACAAACTCCTTGCTTCCTTGTTTCACAATTATAATGGAGTATACATAGAGTGCATGTTGCAGGTTTAAAGGGAGCAAAGGACAAGATTAAACTCCCGTAGATAGAGGGTTGAGCTGTGTATGGCCATGTGAGACTTATGGTGCAATACATATCTATTGTGAGGCTTGCAAGGTCAAACATGCTGGAAAATGAAAGCTTTTAAACTGTTGAAACTTTAAGTCTATCTATCTTCAAATACTAATGCTAATGTCATCATAAATACACTCACACATGCACAGTAAGACAAATATCAGAAGCAGATAATCTTCACAAGAGGAATATTTGTGTATGAACAATAAACACAACAAAGATACAAAATCTCATATACACAGAAAAAAAATCTAATTGTGAAAGCACATGACCTTTTAAACTATGAGTGGTTTATTACACATGGGGTTTGTATTTATATAGTATTTGCAGTAAATCAATGCACAACAAATAGGCACTCCCTGGTTGAGCTGAAACCCAATTACCATACAACCCATGCATCAACACACGCTACATGGAATCCTATACATACTAATGGTGTTAGGCTATATACGTTACTGTGAAGTAGTAGCTGTGTCACACAGCTTCAACCATGACACATACACATTTCAACTGGCTACATCTCTCACCCGTCCACGTGATCAAACAAGTGTTAAAAACCAAAGACACCTCATGCCATCATTAAAGGTGGCGGTCTCAGTTCAGAAATCTGCATGAAAGAGCGGGCGGTTGAGTCATTACTTGGCCCAATGGGGGAACACAAAAAACTGTCTTTCATTAGGCCACACCTGTACGCACAGAAATTACAGAATGGCTGTAATGAGAGGAATCTCTGAGCCAACATATTCTCCTTTAAATAATACTAATGCAAGGATTTGCAAAGTACTGTGATAAAACTGGGTCTCAGTATACAAGGAAAAATAAGGTAGTGCTTGATTTTAATTGATGGCACAACAAATGTTTGATTAAAACCATACACCACATAAATCTGACGTATTTTGCTCATGCATATATACAATTGTGTATAAGCAAAAATAGCTAGTGAATGCTATCACAAATATGGCCCTCTTGGCATCAGGTTAAAGCTGCTTTTCACCATCATGACTTTTAGTATTGTATAATTTCAGCAGCCCTCAAAATACCGGCCATCATTTTCTTTGCTTCCAACTCTCAAATACACACACACAGTAACACAAAAAGTCCTCAAGCAGAACTATTCAACAGCGTCAAAGTGTTGTGGGCTTATTAGGCTGTTTATCTAGAAAGTGTTGTGCCACTGTTGTCCCTGAAAATGTCATTCCCTATATTAAACTGCTTTATCTGTCTGCCACAAAGGTACATTTGGTTAGCGTGTCTGTGGGTGTTTGATGATAAGACATTAACTTTTGTTAATTCTTTGAACTCTTACTCAACATCATTTATTCTACTGTGTCCTTGAAGATATCTTTGGTAGTTCTGTAATTACACAGCCTCTGTACTTCAAAATGACAAAATGGAAACTTATATCATGACTCTTTATTGGCTTAAAACAGACAATGAATTTAAACACTAAAATTCACTTTTGAGACTTTAACTAGATCAATAGTAACAGTGTTTTCTTAAATAACTGAGACACTGTTGGGTTTTTATTAGGCTTTGGAATATGTTCAGTTGTTAAGCCACTAGTTTAACATGTACTTGGCCATTAAAATGCTAGTTGTGGAGCAGTACCTTTGAAACTCAATTGTTTTATTTGTTGTTTGTAAAATTTAAGGTTTGTTCCTCAAACATAAACATTCTTAAATGATGTCAGCCATTCTGCTACAACATGAACTTAAACTTTGCTCATCTCTGAGAAAGGAAAAAGGATCCCATCAAAGCAAAAGTATTTGGCGAGATAAGAACAAGTTGGTCATTTCCAGATTAACCCTGAAAGTGACCACAAAAGGATGTTTTTTAACAGGGGCCCAAAAGTGCACTTTCACTCTGTTTCATCTTCTTATTGTGTAATGAGTTTGTGTGCAGTGTGGATTGCAGTACATGACTCTATTGATGCAAACAGTCAATATCCAGTTAAGGTATGTTTATTCACAGCCAAGCTTCCAACTCTGAGTTGAAGAAAATTACTTCATAATTTTCTGGGGCTGGAAAAAGGATACTTCTGCGGTCTCTGAGGTCTCTGTATTTATGGCCGTCATGATAATATTAAAACAGCAAACTTCAGTTGTTGTGAGACACTGATAAAGTAATAGGACACAATTTTATCCCAAGTTTGGAAACACCGTTAAAAATAATCCATAAATCATTAACATACTTAAAGACCTCACTTTGCTCAACTGTCACCATGATGCTTTAGAACAGGGCAAGCCTTAAAACTTAAGAATACAGTTTTAAAATTGGGTTTGATATCAACTATCCAGCTTTTGATGACAGATTTTGCCACAGACACTGCTTAGCAAATGACAGTAATCTCCACGACAACACTATCAGAAATCAACACGGAAACATCAATTTGCATTAGTGTTGGGTCATACAAAACAAATATAAAGATGCTTTTATGCTCGTTGCCATAGCAACATCTATGTAATGGCACATACAAGTTAACTTGCATGATTACCTTTTCATGGAAGAGGCTCTCTGTCAAAGTCAAGATGAGCTATGCGTTTGAGTGCAAGTGTTAACCCTCTGAGCTGGAGTATCTCCTGGAGTTAGATCTATCTTCACGAGATTATATCTTATCCTCGCCATTTCTTTTGCTATAAAATCCATAAGCTTTATTTCACTCTATTCACACTCATTTATTTAATTTGAAATGAGTCACAATATTTTTTAGTTCCTTTGACTGTCAATACATCTCTAATTCAGTCTGTCCAATTTCAGTCTGTTTCACATTAATCGAAAAAAGCAAGACCCCTGCCCCACTGCCCCACTGTGTACGTGTGTGTGTTCATTTTTTAGTGCCTGTGCCTTCTTGTGTGCTGAAGTGACAACAAGTGACAGTGAGCAATGGTCCTGACTTAAAAGTGAATGTGTAGCTGTTGTGTGTGCTTGAAGATGTGTGTTTGGCCAAAATGTAGTGGCGTTTGTGTGCGTATGTGTCTCTTCACACTATAATCGTGACAGTTGAGAAAGAACTAGGATGCACAGCTCTCTGTTCCATCTTGATACCCCTGTCACTTCTTGGCCTTGTTCCCTTCCATCAACTTTCCTTGGGATCAGCTGGGAGGTGGAGGGTGATGGTAAAGGCTGAAACTAGTCACCTGTACACTAGGGACAGAATCCTCCCCTGGGCATGGACATCAGAGCAGATCCAAGAATCTCAGGATCAAAGCAACAAGTTTGAATAAATTCAAACTCATTTGGCAAAGTCAGTTACTGGAATAGTCTAATCTAAATAGAGTACTTTAAAAATATTGAGCCAAGTGGTGCATGAACAAGGTTACAATGACTTATAAGCTGCTTATAGTGATGCA